ATCATGCTAATCATGCTAGCATCTTGCTAAAAGCATATTAGCAACATGCTAATAATGCTAGCAACATGCTAATCATGCTAGCATAATGCTAAAACATGCTAGCATAATGTTAGCAAAATGCTAATCATGCTAGCATAAAGCTAAAAAATGCTAGCATAATGTTAGCAAAATGCTAATCATGCTAGCATGATGCTAGCAACATGTTAATCATGCTAACAACATGCTAATCATGTTAGCATAAAGCTAGCAAAATGCTAATTGTGTTAGCATCTTGCTAAAAACATGCTAATCCAGTGCTGAGTTCTAGTTTATTATTATTATTCCATCCTGAAACTCTTAATGATTGTGATCAATGTTTCCAGTTGTTTTTGTTCTTGCTGAGCAAAACCAGCTTATAAAATGCTCTTTTAAATAGAAACCACAACAATCCAATTTAACACAAATTAATTAATAAAATATAAATGAATAATAATTGATTATACTTATTTATAAATATTTTGATATAAATACTAAAATACATTAACTAATTAATATAGAGGCCATTACAGTTGTTTTGTGTTGCTTTCTTGAAAAGAAAGATAAAAACTCTAGTACTGTTATAGTACGCATCATTATTCCATGATTGTATTTACACACACAGTTTCTCACATCTTCATTTTAATACTGTGGATGGACTCCAGATGAAACGCTGTTCATTCATTTATCTGTAATTCAAGAAATCGCTCCCCTTTTCCCAACATATTTTTTAGTCAATCTCCTGCTCATCAGAAGTGTAAGTTCACACACACACACACACACGTCCAGTAGAGGAACATTGATGTTGACTCAGTGTGTGTATAGAAGAGTCTCCTGCAGAGTTCAGCTCCAGCTCTGCTCTCACACACACCGGACTGTCATTGTTCAGTCGTCCTGAGCCTGAGATCAGCTGATTCTGTGTAATTCAGACTGGAGCTCAACTCTCCAGGATGATGATGGTCCTCCAGGAGTAGATTCAATACTGCTGATTTACACTGTTATTGTGGTAAAGTTGAGTCACTCTTTAACCGTGCGAAGAGTCTTAATAAGTATGATATCAAATGTAACCAGATTAGGTCACTTCAGAGACGTCTGCTCTTTGCTGTCGAGAAACTGTCCTTTCTACTTTCTCCATCAGTTTAAACATAGTGATGTCCGCTGTATGATGCATGATAGAAACACAAGAAGAGATGAATATGCAAACTCACGTCAGACTTTACTCAACAGAAGCTCGCTAAGCATACTGACATAAGCAAACAAACCCAGAGCATGTATTCCAAAACAGACCTCAATAATAGAACAAAGATGTCTGCTAGGCTGATATACAACAATAGTAAAGGCATACAAGAGTGTAAAAGAAGGTCAATAGATGAGTAAGGACGGGAACAGAAAGAATTTAACAATTCTGTTTCTGAGACACGGTTCCAGTTCATTACCCGATCCATTAATGATTCTTTTAAAAATAATTGATCATAACTAGAATCAACAAACACATTAAACAAAAACAATATTATTTTTGGTAACATTTCTTTTTGAATAAAAGTACCATTTATTATGACAGAACGCTCTTCCTGATGTGTGTCTTTAACAACCAGTCAGTAACTGATTTAAGTCACACAAGCCTAAAATACACACAATACAGTCACGGTTCACGATTTGTTTTGATTGGATATGATGAGAATCATATGACATCCGTGCAGTGAATAAGTCAACAACTGCTCTGACTGATTCAGTCAGTGAGAGATTCAGTCAAACCGATGATTCAGAGCGGTTCATAAGAGTCATTGATTCAGATTACACTGATCGCGCAGTACGTTTGCTGTCGTGTTCGAGAACATCGCTATAGAAATCATGTGTGTTTATTGTCTTTGTGTTATTTCACATCTCTCTCATTATAATAAATTCAGACGATACACTCACATCTCAGTTAAATAATCATTTCTTTTGCTGTGTTGCTGTAGATTCAGCGGTTAAAAAACACTGTCAGAGTATTTCAGTGCAGCGTCTGTCAGAATCAGTGGAAGAAGAACCGACTCAAACAAATGTCAGAAATCATTCAGCTCCTTATTTGTAAGAAAAGAAACCAGTTCTGTTTTAGAGAAAGTATCTCTGACTGCTGTGTTTGATAAACCGACAACAATTCACTAATTTCTTTCTCAGAAATCTGTGGTGACGGTTTAATCAATAGATACACACCATTATGTGTATTATGTTTTTATCTATCACAGTGTAGACTTTCTATTAGATTCTATTGTTTTTATACTGAGCTAATGATATTTTCTATGGGCTACCTTTAAAACCTAAACTTATAGGGTTAGTTCACCCAAAAATGAAAGTTTTGTCATCATTTACTCACTCAGTTGTTCCAAACCCGTAAGACTTCTGTTCATCTTCGAAACACAAATGAAGATATTTTTAATGAAATGTGAGAGATTTCTGTCCCTACATTGAAAGTCTTTTCCACAAGAACTAATGAAGTTTGTTCTCGCGTGTCAAGCAAGTTGAGCTTCTGTTTATGTTTGCTGATCATCAGTGTTTATATGTGAATAAAAGACTGAATTAAATCTGCTCATCATATAAAGCGATTATGTCTCTTCAGAAGACTTGGATTAAACAGCTCGATTCATATGGATTTATTTTATGATCTCCTTATGAATGTTTTGGGTGAACAGTCTTTTTCAATGGAGGGACAGAAATCTCTCATTTCATTAAAAATATCTTCATTTGTGTTTTAAAGATAAACAAAAGTCTTATGAGTTTGGAATGACATGAGGGGCAGTAATTGTTGTGTTTCCATGTTTTCTGGGTACTTTCCATAGATTGTTAAAAAAAATATCCCGTTAAATTTACGGTAAAAAAGTGGCAGCTGTCGTTCCCAGAAATTCCCTAAAAAAATACTGTCAATGTTTCCTGTATATTTTACAATTATTGATTTATTGATATAATGTTAATATACTTACTTTAACTACCAAAATCTCGCCTATTAAAAAGCCACATGATAGTTCATCGTAAGTGTTGTAAGGCCTGTTCATAAAACATGGTTAACACTCGTATATTATAGACAGTGCACAGAGTCACACACAAACACAAAACACCATCAGGGAAACACACACGACACTAAAATAATGCAATAAACATAAACCAAATAACATCAATTGTAACACAAAACACACTAATGTACATTACTGATAACACAAATAACAAGAAACAATGTGATGTGTAACACAGTGACTTCTGGGAATGTCCTTTTACTGTTTTCTTTACCATTAATTATATGGTAATTAATAGTTTTTACTTGCAAAAAAACATACATTTGACAGTATTTTACAATAGAATACATTTTCACTGTTTATGGTGTCTATCTATTCTATCTATTGATCTTTCTTTCTATCTATCACTATAAACATCCACCTGAAAACCCTAGCAACGCATAGCAACCACCCAGAGTACCCCAGCAACCACATCGCAACACACTAGCAAAATCCCCAAGTACCTTAGTAACCACATAGCAACATCCTAACAACCACCCAATACCCTAGCGACTACATAGCAACACCCTAGCAACCACCTAGCAAACATTCAGAACATCCTAGCAACCACACAGCAACCAACAAGAATGCCCTATAGCTACTTCATAGCAACACCAGGCAAACGTCTAAAAACCACACAGAACACCCTAGAAACTGCATAGCAACCATGCAGAACTTCAAACTTTAAGCTTTTTATAATACTGTACTTCAAAATTCAAACTGCTTCAAACTTCAAGCTTTTTGAATAAAAATTTACTCATCTAGTTTATAATCTTATTTTCTTTAACAGGACCTAAAAATGTCCCCACAATATATTAAAACAATCACACAATATCATCTACAGAGCATCTGCAGCTGGATTGTGGCACATTCATTTATTCTTTTACTCCGACTGTGAACAAAGAAAAGTTGTTATTCTTAGAATCGAGACACATGAGACGGTCAAGGGTGAAATAGGTCACAGTTTCCACAGTATCTCAGATTTAAAAAGAAAAGAAAATATGAACACATGAATCACACACAGGCTGGGGATTCTGTAGAATGAACTCTTATGAACTATTACAATGGTAAAGTTGAGTCACACATCAACAGTGTGAAGTTGAGTTGAGTTGAGTTGAACTTTATTGTCCATTCTGTTTGTCACAGAGCGGAAATTTATCTTTGACACTGGTGACATAAATACATTCACATTACTGTTTAAAAAAACACATTGAACATTGCACATTTACAACACTAATACAAAAATATATACTAAATACTAAAATTATACAATTTAACACCGTTAAAGAAGAGTCTTGATAATTTTGCTAAGAGATCAACCAAAGGGAGTTTTGCAACCAGAGTAGGTTACTTCAGAGACATCTGCTCTGAAACACTACTCTTTCTAATGTTTCTATGAGATTATTCATAATAAAATAGAGAAAAAGAAGGGAAATGGATGAGTAGGGTGGGAATTACAGAATTGAACAGTTCTGGTTCTGAGAGACAGATCTGGTGAATGAATAATTCAAAAAACACTTTTAAATCAGTGAGAGATTCAGTCAAACTGATCATTTAAAAAAAGACCAACAGATTAAAAAGAGACCGTCCATAAGAACCATTTATTGCCATTATTATTGAATACACAGCTGCACAGTATGATTTGTGAATGCTCTTTTGTGGAACCAGACATCACAATATACATCCATGTTGTTTGTTTATTGTCTTTGTTTTATTTCTCAGCATCTGGTCTTTTTCTCTCATCATAATAAACTCACGACTCAGCTAAAATATTGTTTACCGGTATTTATAATTTTTTGATAGAATGGAGGCTAAAATACAAAAAAAATATGTTCAGTCAGATTTATTTGATTCTAAATCAGACATGTTGGGACTTTCTGAGTGACTGATGATTTTAACTTCATTGTATAAATTGATTAATTATACAGATACATTCAATCTGTCTCTTTTCCTCAGGTGTGCACACATATCAGCAAATGTACGGCTGTGAGTGGGATGATCAGACTGGAGCAAAAGATGCGTTCCTGCAGTATGGATATCATGGAGAGGACTTTGTGTCTCTGGATTTTAAGGAGATGAGATTTATTTCCCCAGTGCAGCAAGCATCCATCTCTGTACAGAAGTGGAACAATGACAGAGGCAAAATTGAGGGTCACAGAAATTACTTCAGCACTGTGTGCATTGAGTGGCTGCAGAAGTATGTTGATTATGGAAAGAGCAGCCTGCAAAGAAAAGGTACATCAGTTCTTATCCAGCTTTGATTATAAAGCCCTACATGTTTTGTTAAAAAAAAAAAAATAGTGTACACTAGAATTGTCATTGCAAAAAATAGTTTTGTCACTTGAGATATCTTTAAATTCTGTAGTGTTCTTTCCTCCAGAGTATTGTTTTAATTATTTTAAGCAATATAGATCATGTGGTTTGTTTGAAGATATTAATTAAAATTGTATTCTTTAAATGACTTACTACAAAAGATCCAGGAAAAGCATGTTAATCTAATCCCATCAATCCCATCGGCTAGAAACGTATAAGCTAAAGTAGGCATTATGTGTTGTAGTGGCTAAAGCTCAGTGTTCAGTGACAGGTTACTGTACAGACTCCTTAAGTTAAGAAAACTCAGATTACTTGTGTGTTTATTTACTCGATGTGACAAAGTTTCATTGAAGGCAGGCACTGCAGGAAGACTGACAGTAGCCCAGTTTTGAGATAAGTAGAATCTGGATAAGCAGCCGTTTAGCATAGATAGATGTTCAAGCATATCAAAATGCATATTCTTTTGCTAAATTATAGGCTGGCTGTGATGACAAGGAGCTCTGTCTTAGTTCTAAATATTGAAAGTTTAGAGGAAAAATGGTTACATAGAGTGAATATACAAAACTTTATTCTTGCTTCTGCCTTAGTTGAGAACAGAGCTGTTAAAGCAGAATCTCCAGCAGACACTAATAGTGCTGGTGTATTTATCTGGGCAGTTCAACCACACTTCTAACACACATTATACAATGAATTGGATCCAACCTTCACAGTGTGTTGGTGGTTTACAAATGTCTTGTTTGGGAAGACCTCAAAATTGTGTGGCATGACACATGTCTCTCTCTCTCTCTCTCTCTCTCTCTCTCTCTCTCTCTCTCTCTCTCTCTCTCTCTCTCTCTCTCTCTCTCTCTCTCTCTCTCTCTCTCTCTTCAGTCTCTCCTCAGGTGTCTCTGCTGCAGAAGTCTTCCTCTTCTTCAGTGACGTGTCATGCTACAGGTTTTTACCCCAGTGGAGTAACAATCTCCTGGATGAAAAATGGACAAGAGCATCATGAGGATGTGGATGTCGGAGAACTTCTTCCCAATGAGGACGGAACCTTCCAGAAGACGAGCACCATCAGAGTTTCACCTGAGGAGTGGAAGAACAACCAGTTCAGATGTGTGGTGGAGCACCAGGGGGAAACCAAGGAAGAGGAGGAGATCAGGACTAATGGGGGTGAGAGAAATTACATTTAAACAGACCAATGCTATATTACAACGCATTCTCACCCCAAGGCGTCACTAAAATGACAATTTTGACCATGCTTCAATATTCGACGCTTTAGGCACCCTTTAGCGTCAGTTACATGACGCGATCCTAGGGCGTCATCTTACTGACGCTTTACCTAAGCGTCAGTTAGATGACGCGGGTAGGTTTAGGTCTGGGGTAGGGTTAGGATTAGATAGCGTCATCTAACTGACGTTAAAGGTAAAGCGTCAGCAAGATGACGCCCTAGGATCGCGTCATGTAACTGACGCTAAAGGGTGCCTAAAGCGTCGAATATTGAAGCATGGTCAAAATGATTCCCAAGGCGTCAGTTTCATGACGCCTAGGGATGAGAATGGGCTGTATATTATTGTAACAGGGATGTTGAGATGAGTGAACTACGAATGTAGTCCCTCCTGTGATCCCCATTTTTGAGTCTGTTTAGGGTTTTTACTCGCCAGAAAATAAATCCTTAAAAACAGACCAATGCTTTATTAGGATGTGTTTTTTTTTAATAGGATGTTTATTACAATTAAGAATACAATTAGGTGAAATTAGATTATTTCTCAAAGAAACTATGGCATGTGAGTGTGGTCATTCTCAGTCACAGCTTGGCTTCTTCTCTTTAACAAACTTCTTGACCTGCAGAGAGGAAACAAACAATAGAGCACAAACACAATATGATTATACCTATATTGTTTTCATATAGATGCAGATTGTCAGTTAATATACACATGTACTGCTGATCACAGTCACACACACACTGTTTGAGATGATCAGTTCTGGTTAGTAGCATTATCCGGCTCTTTGAGTAATCTGAAGTTTCCTCTGATCAGGAGATTCTCTTCCCATCATGCCGATTGTTGCTGTTCTTATTGCTGTCGTCCTGTTGATCGCCATTGGTGCCATTGGGTTTGTGGTGTATAAGAAGAAACAAGGTGAGGACACAGTTTTGGCCATACAAAGTCTGAAATATCTTAAATAGCAAATTAAGAAAAATGTAATGTTGTTTGTAACTTAAACTAAATTCAAATTGCATTGCATTTGTTTGCTTCAGTAATTTTTGTTAATGATAACAATTGTGGTTGAATATAAAAACAAATATATATTAGTGCTGTCAAATCAATTCATCGCAACTTAAATAAAAGTTTTTGTGTGTGTATAAATATATATATATATAATATTTATGTTCTACTTTACTTTTGATTTGGTGTTTATTGATTGAAACTGCTGAACTTACAGCTCACTTCTATGATTGTTTTACAGGCTTTAAACCTGTCAGCGGTAAGTTCCTCATAAACACAAATTATAAAAATTATTATAAAATCATGATGAGTTCTGCCATTGGTCATGATGTGGTTAATAGTAGTATCTTCATATATCTAAATCCATAATGTAATGTTTTGATAATGTAAAATAATACTGTAAATACAATAAAAGTTTGTCCTGAAACGTTTCTCTCTAATGCAGAACTTATAGTGATATGATACAGACAGAGTGACTGCTGTGCTAATCTAGTCTTGTATGAGCAGTCTGGTGTTTTTGTATTAATGTTGTTTTCTGTTTTAGGTTCTGATGACGGTTCTAACAGCTCAGCTCATCCACAAGCATAAAGACGTATGTGTTCTCATTCATCAGTGCCACTGTCTCAGTCCTGCGAAATGAATGAAATGTAACATGTTTCTTCTGGCATTTTAGGAGACTGGACGTGTGCGAGAATCAAGTTGAGAAAATGATGCTTGTTGTGATGCCCATCTTGCTTACCAAAATGCACATAAACACACACACACACACACACACACACACACACACACACACACACACACACACACACACACACACACACACAGATAAGATAGAGGGAGAGGGAATCATATTTCTGGGATTTATCTATTTTATGGTTCTGAATTAATTACATCTAAAAAGTAATGTTTTTGTTTCTTCACACTTTCTGTTCATCTTATGGTTAACTTTTTAATGTTATCATGTAGAAATACAGCTCATTGATTACAGAACCTAAATTAGAAAATGTGTGTATTTCTCTTAGTGACAGATGAAAACAAAGAACACAAATCATTGATTTGTAGATTTGAGAAAATTGATTTGTAGTTTTGTGACGTCAGGACTGAACATTAAAAAGAAATCAGAAAGCTGAAGTGTTTATAGTTTCCTGGGTAGAGCAGCGTCTCAGATCATTCTTTATTTGTTTCTAAAGTGACATTTTCTGTGAGATATAATATGAAGTAAATCAGGGGAAAACTGCTAACTAGTCCTGGAAAATTGTTTATCTACTGCAACATTTAAATACATTTAATTAAACTTTAAAATGGTATAGATCGAATGATTTGTGAAATGTGTCTTTTCTGTCAATTAAATTTACCACTATGTAGATTTCATAGTCTTCCTTTGTTTGTATATTTCCTTCTTTTTTATTTCCTTCTTATTTTTTAATTATTTAGATAAGCTGTAGTACAGAATAATAGTTGATTTTTGTTAAATAATTGTAGATGCTGTACTATTGAACTTTTACATATGTCTGAACAGTACAGTAAAATACAGATATTTTCCTTAATTTGAGGTTTCTAAATCTAAATTATTTACATGAATGTTTTTCTTTGTATATCGGTTGCATTCAAAAAGTTATAATGTTGTTTTGATTCTTTCGAAATAAATAAACCTCACAAAACGAGCAAGTGGCGAATTTCTTTCACACTTTTCAAATAGCAGAATTCACATTTTATCACAATTATTAACTATTGAATGAAGTTCCAAAAGGGTCATAAAGGCATCAAATATAGAAAAATGAAAGGTATTTTTTTTAAATGAATAAATAAATATGTATAGATGACAACAGTGACTGTGGTAGTTCCAGCTATCACAGACCAAACATTTAGACCACAAGATAGAAATATAATTACAGGTTCAGTAATTTTCTATTTTTAAGAAGGGGAGACACACTGTAAAAAGTGTGAATGTACAAATAGTTATATCAAATAACTCAGAATTTTTTTTGTTGTGAATTTAGTTTTTTTTTTTTGTTATTACATTGTTTAAAGCATAATACATTTTTTTAAATAACATTTTTTGAAAAAATTTATGTTCGGCTAGGTCCTCTGTAGAGGACATTAGGACTTATTTTTATTAAAAAAAAATTGTATTATTATTAAGAAGACTTGAATAAGCAAAAACAATGTTTTTTTAATCACCAATAATGTTTTAGGTTTCAGGATTTTATATACCAAACTTTGTATAAAAATGATTCTCAAATATATTATGAAAGATATAACAGAATGATTTGATTTACCATTTTGCTTTATGCAATATGTGTGTAAAATTGTCATAAGCGGATTTTCCCATTTTATACAATGTATCTATACATTGTATCTAATTTGCATATTAATGTGTTCTTGGGGCAACATGTAATGAAAAAAGAAGTGTAATAATAATGGTAGTAATTGGCTAGATTTTGATAATAATATCTAATATTTCATTGGAATATTTAAATATAATTTCTTTCCCTATTGACCTGGGTCTTCCAAAATGCCTGATAAACATGATGTAAGTCCTGGTGTCCAATACAGTGGACATGTATAAAATATATGTCTTGTTTCGTTACAGAAAGTCATAATTTGATTTGAAACCCCATAACATTTTCTTAAAATCTGTATTTATGATAAACAATTAAAAAATTGTTTGATTTACTAAATGATAATTACAAAATATTATCATATTCCATAAATGTAATCACTTAATTAATGTCAGTCATTTTAAAGTCCATAGAAAGGGAGTTGTCATTGTAAAACCTCCAAATATTTGGTATCTCTGAAAAGCCCTGAATGTGCTCTTTACAGGACGTCCAGGCTTAAACTGTGACATGCATGATGTCAGAGAAATTCACTACAATAAAATGTAGACACATTTATCTGAAAATGCCTAACTAAAGCAAAAACAAATAAAAAATGAAGTGAACTGTGACATACCAAATGAAATGATATTGTATATGTGTATGCCTCACAAGTGACATTTTATAATGATATATCAACACTGATTAACCAAACCATTAGACCAACATCTATCGAACTGATTTAACCCAAAGTAAATTTACAGTTTTTCTCGATTGCTTAAACACATTTCTTGAAACTATACCTTGTATTCTCAAAACAGTAAACACAAATCCATAACGTCTCACCCAATTCCCCAAACATCCTATTTTCAGGTCAAAATGAAGCTCTACACTCAAAACCATTCACTCTGGCTGAAAAACCCAAATTTGCCCGCCTCAGACATCACACACAAGCCCTCACAACACACACACTACAACATAGTGCTATATGAACACAAGATACACAACCAATGGATACATTGGTACATTTTTATTCATTCATGTACTACACAGTACAAAAAATAATAATAATACTGTAAGTACTTTTTTTTTTTACTCTCTCCTCTATATTTACTTACGTAAGATGTGTGTGACCATCATATGACAGTAAAAGAGCACACACAAACCTTATTCAAATGGAATTGTAGTGGAATGGTAAAGAGTGGTGCGTGACAGGAGGGCCTCCAATCAAGGATACAATATGATGAACAAGTCTAAGAATGTTCCACATATGGTTGAAATACCATCATTGGCCTAGAAAGATAACATTCTGGGAGTCAAGACTATAAAGGAGAAAGGATGCCCTCCCTTCACTGTCACACTCTGCAGCCACTCTGTGTGACTGTACGACTGCTGGCCTTTTCTTGCAAGAACATAAACTTCATCAAAGACAATTGGAAATGTTTGTCTCTTACAGTTTTTCTTTACATTCAAAACAATGTTATTTCTTCTCAAAATGGTATTTTGTTTGCAAATAACACACACAAACCATCATATGAATAGACATTTATTAGAACCAGTTGAACACTGATGTGCTCAATGTAAAACACTATGATGAATGGAAAACACTTCTTCTCCATTCATCATAATGACTTAGGCCTTTTTTTTGTTCAGTGTTATATATATATATACAGTTACAGTATATACATAAGTGTGTTGTAAAATATTTGAGAATATTGTTTTTATACTCAGCAAAATACATCGTAACAAATATATTTATTTTCCCCACAAAAACAATGTACACAGTGTACATCCCAACCAACACAAAGTTGCACATACAGTGGTCTACATACAAAACAACAGAAAAATGTACTGTACACAGTTACAGTAAAAAAAAAAACTATGCTGCATCCTCTCTTCTGTGTCAGTCTTTTATGCTAAAGCTCTGATTGCTAATGGTATACTGTGTGACAGGTTTTGCCCATGTGAGGAGTCAGTGTGCATATTTGAATGGCAGTGTGTTCCTTGTGAAAACAAGAGACTTTATGCATGAAAATTGTGCCAAATGCAGAGAATTGTGTGTAGTGTTTTGAAAAAAGTGTGTTTTAGAACTGCAATTTGAGTGTATGCAGGAATTATGCTTGTAGTTTAGCAGAATTTGTTCAGAGGGTTGGTGCATGAGTTACATGTTGTGGTCATTGTGTCTCAAGTACCAGTATTTGTGTGTAAACAATTGAGAAAAACTGGATTCAGTGATATAAATTTGTTTGTCACTTGAATTTCATCCGAGACTGCTTGTCCCCTTCCTCATCCTCCTCCTCCTCCTCCTGGAAAACCAGGAAATAGTGTTTATAGTTTAGGGAAATGGGTGTGCTTTTTGATAAATGTATGGTTTTGAAATTTTAGTTCAAAAGCCTGGTTATAGTGTTTAAGCAATCGAGAAAAACTGTAATCTTGTAAAACTAAATCATATGAAAACACTCCTATAAGGCAGGTATTTATAGCATATTTTTAGCCGTCATTGTTGGTGCTCAAAGTTGAAATTAGAAATGAATGAAAAGCAACTGCAAGTTGTATTACAAGCATGACTGATGATATACCAGTACTGTCCTTCATCACATTATTTGATTGACAGATAAAGACCTTTTAAAATAAAACACAATTTGTAAAATAAAATCTATCAACGGTAGCCTATATTTAATTAATTATATAGATTAAAAATATATATCTAAATGTTTTAATTGAAATGAAAATGTCCTTTCAGTATCTTTGTATTATCGTTTTTCTTTTCTTCAAAAATGCTATATTGCACAAAATTTCCCTGCACTTTGTTTAACCCTTGTTATGTTGCTACTAAGCACAATAAAAAGACATAAACAGGAGCTATATGTGTCCTGCAAAATAAGCGGATTAAGATCATTTATTTGCTAAAAAAGTTAAGGGAAAGTATAGAAAACACAATTCAAAAATATTACAAAGAATGCACCAAAAGTGTTTATTTATTTTGATTTGTTTAATTGTGTCAGATATTATAATAAATCAGTGAGTTTTGCATGAGTGAGAGATCATATGTGATCAGAACATTCCCTTCTTATAGCGGTGGATTAACTCGGACACGTCCTCCTTACACACCTTGATCCAGCCGTCCTCCTGCATGTGGTAAACTAAGAGAAAACATGTGAAAGCTTATCTCTTAAACTCAGAGCACATACACGCATGCATCAACAATGAACAGTAATCAATTAAGTAAATAATAATTGTTCGACAGAAACACAAAAGTATTTTTGGGGACAAATTACAGATTTCTCCCGGCTTTAGGCTGAAACAAAATAGCATTTTACTGAAGTTAAATATGTTGTACCACCAAATGTATTTACTGTTAATGAAATTTATGTCTCAGATTTATTCCTAGCTAATTTGTAATACATTGCTGTACTTACGGTTGACCACACCACCAGAGTAAGCGTCTCTGTGTGTGGCATGAGCGATACCACGCCGGCCCAGCTCATACGCCTCCTCCACAGTCATATCCTCACGATATCCACTGTCCACGACTCCATACGCATAACTGTTCCCACAGCCAGTGGAAAACATGCAGCCAGAGAGACGTGTGCCATTGTCATCCACATAGTACAGGCCTGGACCCTGATGTGAGGAAAATGATCATAATGAACGTATCTGGAGATTATGTGTGTGCATAATTGTTACACATGAGATCTTACCAAGAACTTTACAATAATATTATTTATTGTATTATTTAATTTAAAGTTGTATTTAATTGTATTGTATCGTATTGTATAATATTATGCTTAGACTGAGAACACCCTAAAAATATGCACAAAAAAAACAACATTCACAAAGCCTGTCATTTAAACACACTTCACCTGCTTGTCCCAGCCGCAGATCATACTCCCCATAGACAGACCCATGCCTCTGTATCCCAGCATCATGTTGCACAGGAGTTTGGAGGCTGCAGACACTGAGATCCTCTGCTTGTTGCGTAGTTTGTAAAGTCTGTTTTTAAAATACACCATACTTAAAACTACATGTATTACGTAATAAAGAATAGCTGTAAATATTGGGATCAACATAATGGGCTGCATTTGAAAACTGCATTTTCAGTTCCTGTACAATATAAGGTTAATATTTGATAGTTGTATAATGAACAGATCAAAATTTAAGCATTTATTTACAAATAGTCAAATCAAATTAAAACATTTATCAACATACATTTACAGACTACATCACATATGATGACTTGATCTTCATGATGTTAACTCGACATGCAAGAACCAATCAGATTTTAAATTAGTTGACATTTGAACAGGGCCGTAGCTGGGGTCTCCAGGGCCCCGGTGCAGATTGTTGCATTGGATCCCTCGGTTGAAATTGCAGGGGCCCCTTATAGCCGGGGGCCCTCAGAATCATCACCACCTTTCGCCCAGCAAGTGATGGTCCAGCGTTTGGATAGTAAATAAAGTCTTAAATTTTAATCAGTTCATTATACAAAATTTAGTTTAATACCTTTATGCCCTTTGGAGTTTCAAGTTTTTTTTATCCCATTAACTTTTATTGTATGAAAAATTAAATAATCAAAACGTTCTTCAAAATACCTTTTTTGTGTGTTCAGCAAAAAAAAAAAAAAAAGACAGTCATATTTGGAACAGCATGAGGGTGAGTAAATAATGTCAGAATTTACATTTTCGGGTGAACTATCCGTTTAAATCTTTACTAATGCACTGATTATTTTAGTTTTAAAATCTGTTCTTCTAATAATCTTTAACCAATGCTTTAGACAGTACATTTTCTGGCACAGCTGAACACAAACTGGTAACTTCATCCTGTGAGCAGATGCTCATCCCCTTCAGAAGCATGCTGAGACAGACCTGCACTCTTAAGCCAGCAGTCTCTCCCAGTACTGACAGTCTGCAGCACTGCCGGACATGGTGCCCAGCAGGTAAGGGTTGATCTCTATCACTTTATTGGCCTCCTTTGATGCTGCAACACATTGGGAGAAACATCATGATACGGCAGATAAATACATGACTGACATGATGTTCACAACTGTTGAGTTTTACTCTGAATCCTGTCTGAATCAACATTACATGCATGAAATAGTTGTAAAACCAGCTTGCTTTTGACTTAAGGAAGTGTTTTATACTCTTCAATGATGTATGTACCGATGTATTTTCCAGCTGATGCTCTGGAGTCAACAGCCACGATGACTCCATGACGGAACTTAAATGCCAGAGTTGTGGTGCCATGATTCAGATATGGAAACGCCATCCTCACAACTGCATGATTTCAGAAACTTAGAGGGCTGATGGGAACACAACATGTTACAGTGCATATAGGCTATATATGTTTTATATATAGCTATTCAATATATTATTGAATATTTTTGCTGTTGCTGAGAGTCTGCCCCCTGTGTTTCAATAAGCATTTTTTTCTGGGAGATATAGGAGAAACATATTCTTTTTAATTACCTATTAACGGCTACACAACTGCTGAAAATAGTCTACAAAACTAAAAAAATAGGGTTTAAGTAGGGATATTTTTGGATTAGCCTAATCTGTTAAACATGCCATGTTTCAGTGCAATCTCATGCTTCTATTTTCACACAAAATGTTTGTTTTTATGTTGCCTTAGAGTAACGATTTAGTAATGAATTGACTTTGATGATAAAGTTACTAACGTCAACTCCGACAGGTACTGCGAATTCCTGGCATTTGGTCCCAAAATAGTGATTTGACCGGTCGAGAAGATGCGTTTGCACGAACTGTGACGCGGAATAATATTTATATCGACTAACATCCAAAAGAGCCATTCTTTTGATAAAGAAAGGGCAATAAGGCCTAAATAAAACAGTAGCGAAATGAGGAAATACGAAGGAATATTTTACACGAAGGCAATACGATTCCTCTACGGAAGAGAATGATTTCGAAACCGAAAGATTTTGAGAAACTGTTTTACATGTAGTTTCGATTAAAATATAGCCTAGCCTAGCTAGGTCTATACATGTTTAAAAATATATACATATACGCTATCTACGAATAGCATATTTACATTATGGTTTTCTATTTGCTTGTTTAAAAGTATTTGATATAAACATGATCATTTTTTGCTTTTTTGTACACTCCTGGCTGACCAATAGGAGCACGAATATTTCAGCGTCAACAGTATCTATATAAATTCATCCGATGGAGGTTAAACAGGTGGAACATTGCTACGGTAGCCTAAATACGGAAACAAGTCTGGACACACTATTCCAAAACGCATTATAGAGATGGTTTGTTACTGTAAGTTAATCGCCTGCCCTGAAACCGCAAAGCAAACTATACGCCCTATTACAAGAATGTGAAATGTGTCATAGCCTATAAACTGACCCTATTAAATTTGTCCTTAAAGTCTTTACTTTGATTTTATAGTCACAACTACTCTCAACATCTACTCTCGTGTAATGGAAATCACCAAATGTCAAAATAAAGGCCATTGGTTGACATTTTTTCCCTCTTGCATTTGATATATTTCATTATTTTTATTAAAAAATAGCCTATGACAAAAATGTAACATACACTAATAAGTAGGCCTAGCCTATTTATCATTTGCAACTTATTTACACACAGTATTATTTATGCTTTTAAATATTGTTTTGAAATCTCTTTAGCTTGACTTTAGATGTTTTATTTATTTATAAAAGCATAGGCTATAAAGTAACCAACAGTAATTGCACAACATGTCATTTAAATGTCTTAGTGTTGCATTATTTACCAAGTTGCGTTATGTTTATTAAAACAGATCTTTAGGTTTTTTAAACATTAAAAATATATTGTTCAGTTCATGTGCTGGAAATTGTATTTTATTGATGATTATCTCTGCGCTCTCTACCATTTGCACAGTCCATAAGCCATGGAATTACGAGAATAATCATCAGACAACATTTTTTTAACATCAAAACAGAGTTGAAAGGATCCTTCTTCCTGATCACATTACAACATCGCAGTGTATTTCTTGGCTCAAATTGATTCTTACTATCATTTTAACAGTCTCATGCACCAACTTCAGCTCCTGCTGAGTCACGGTTTGAGTTAGAAGTTAGAACTGGTGTACCGGGCTTATACTTATACTTTGCCTGTCTATGAGAGAACAACAGATATAGATCAATAAATTACCAATATAAGGCATTAGGTATTAACACAAACCTTTGAATATGTACAGGTGCTGTGACATATTAAAGTAAAGAAAATGTAATAGGCTACATAAACAGTAATAATGTGTGACCTGTGTCGTGTTGTCCCTCATAGTTCCAGCTTTCACAGAACATTTAGTCTTCAAGATAGAAATATAAATAATACCGGTAGGTTCAGTAATTTTCTATTTTTAAGAAGTGGAGATGCATACATGCACTGTAAAAAGTGTGAATGTGCAATAGTTACATCAAAGAACTCTTCCTGATCCGACCTTTAAAAATAACATGGCATAAAAAAAATTACTTCAAAAATCAAAAGTCATGATAACTATTTTCAGTAACACTTTAGTTTAGGGTCCATTCTCATTAACTAGCTGCTTATTAGCATGCTTATACTGAATATTGGCTGTTTATTAGTGCTTATAAAGCACGTAACGCCTTATTCTGCATGACCATATTCTACATCCCTTAATCCAATACCTAAACTTAGCAACTACCTTACTAACTATTAAGCAGTAATTAGGAGTCTACTGATGCAAATGTCGTAGTTAATAATAATGTCTTAGTTAATTAATAGTGAGAATTGTACCCTAATTTAAAGGGCCCCTATATGGATTTTTGAAAATGACCTTTCATGTAGTGTGTAACATAGCTCTAGGTGAATGAAAACATCCTGCAAAGTTTTAAATCTGAAAGAGCACTGTAAATAAAGTTTGAGCTACGAAGTAGCTGTAAATAAACCTTGAGCTACGGAAAGGCGCTATATAAATAAAACTTCTTCTTCTTCTTCTAAAGTTATTGTCTTTCAAATTTGGAGTTGACTCTGAGTCAATGAAATGAATAGTTTTTCAAACGAGTCATAAGCCGTTTCGTTGTGATGTCAAGACGGAACATTAGCATATTGCCCGCCCACTTTTTGCGTGCACAGACACCAGGGAAAACTTGAACCCTCAAACCAGCAGCTGATTCCTGTGGACACTGGACAGCATCACGTCGAGAAGACCCTGTGCTCTACAATGTGAAGGTATAGCCAGTTTTCTTTTCACTGCCCAAGGACGAGCATGTGAAGAATCAGTGATTAAAATTCATCTTTACCACAATACCACAGCAGTATAATCCTAAACTTTTGCTGTGTTCCCTTTATTTTACTGACGACTGCTTCTCAAATCTCGGAGTTCAATGCAAGATTCGGAAACCGCTTGATCTTGAAAGATGGTGTTCAAAAAACGTTGTGTGGTCTCATGCTAACTGATGTTATCATGTCTTACTGAAATACTTCTGCTAATCATTTGTGGGCCACTATTACCTAAAACTGTGTCTATTAATGCAGATTGTCTGTCGTTCTCAGTACTTTGAGGAAAGATTTGTTTTACGACGTTTATGTTACAGTACATCAGTCATTCACAGTCATAGATCTCGGCTAATGTATAAATTGCATACATGCATCACTGAGAAACGTCTTGCTCTAGTTGTCCTTGTGATGGAGGTTTGGGTTGAATGAATAGTTCTTCCAATTTTTCATTATCGGACTCGCGCTCGCATTGATATGACAAAATCGACGTCATTGTTTATTACTGTGTTTAATTTACGGTGTTGGAAGCCTCAGGACAAGCAGAGCTGACGTTGTTATGGCAACGGGCGTTTTGGTTTTCGACACGCACGCTGTATGCGGCAAACCAATCACAACAGACTGAGCTGCCTGGCCAATCAGACCAGAGTTGTTCGCGGAAAGGAGGAGAAGCACCTGGCTGCAGCCTGCAGATTTGGGCGGGAGTGCACCTGGGGCGTGCAGCCCCGCCCACAATGCTTCTCATTGGTTAGTGTCAAAGTGATGATGTCAATCGAGGCGGGGGCACACCTGGGACGGGGCTGCACGTCTCTTCCCGCCAACATCTCTTCTCATTGGTTAGTGACGTAAACTCATGACGTCGACTCTAGCATGTTTTCATTTCCGCTGTTCATCGCTGAATGGCGAGTACAGGCAAGCTACTCTTTTTTTGTTCTAATTTTATATACAATTTTTTAATTCTGAAGTGACGTTTAGTGTGATGTTAAAATGAAGTGGTGTAAAACTAAGTATATATAATATAACTATAGGGCAACGTTTCCCAAAAGCATCGTAGGCCTATGTGTGTGTGTGTGTGTGTGTGTGTGTCTAGTGTGGGTGTGTGTAGTTTTGGTGGGATTAGGATATAGTGTTAAAACAAGGCCCTTAAAAACAAATACAGTGGCAAAACTGAACAGAAGAAATATGATTTAAAGGACAAGTTCGGTATTTTACACTTAAAGCCCTGTTTCAAGATCGTTTCTGATGAAATAGAACGGTTAAGATTAAAATTTGGACACATGCTGCTGGCCCGAGAAATTTCGGTTTCTGTGGTTGCACCCCCTCCACAATGGTTGCATAGGGGCACAGAAACAATCCTTCATAAAACGCATTAAACTTTAGTTTACAAACACGTGAAACTCACAGAGTGGTCAGGGGTGTTCACTGATATGCTCACACAAAAATCGCTGCAAAAGATTGCTTTCCAACAGGTTTTATCGTAGTTTTTGTCCAAGTTAAGTCAAATGGAGTTGGACAAAAACTATGATAAATAGTTGCATTTGATGCATTTTCTATGAACAATGTTAAGTAATTTATGTTAATTCATTTAGCTGTACTGTGTGATTAGGACTTGCCATTTCTTACATTTATTAAAACCACAATACATTGATACATCTCACCCAAACATTTCTGTTTACACAGAGACTGAAACTGAACTTCCATCAGCTGCATGCTTTTATTTAGTCACCAAATAAAGCAAATATGATTTGATACACAACCTGATAGATTTAATTCTACCTAGCAACTAATGGTCCTCAGTAATACCATTGGCCAATCATTAGCTGGCACGACACAATCTTCATTTTCAGAATTTCATTTATTGGAATATAAGAATAATGCTTGATTTAAGGCTTCAACTAAAAAAAAAATGACATGCATAATACCATATTGTTCCATGGTAACTGAGCTTCCATAATATTATTATGGAATGATGATGCATGGGCTTACAGTAACAGCTAAGTATTTAATGGACATCTATATTATTTTCATGTTAGACACATTTATCTGAAAATGCCTTTAACTACAGCAATGACAAATTTCAGTGTGGAACTGTGTGAAATACGAAATTAAATTATATTCTATCTGTGTATGCCTCACATAAGTGACATTTTTTATAATGATATATCAACACCGATTAACCAAACCATTAGACCAACATCTATCGTACTGATCTACCCCAAAGTAAATTTTAGTCTTGTAAAACTAAATCATATAAAAACAAGTGACAGAAAAACAAGACAGTTTCATAGCATATTTTGTTGGTGCTCCAAGTTGAAATTAGAGGTGAATAAATAGCAAAAGTTGTATTACAAGCATAATTCATCCACCACAAATTATTCTTTGTGTGTCCCTATATGGCTAAGACTGAAATTCTTCCAAAATGTTGTATTGCACTAAATGTGTCCCTGCACATTGTTAAACCCTTGTATGTTGCGACCAAGCACAGAAAATAAATAAATTAAAACACAAACAAATGTTATGTGTGCTGCAAATTAAGCAGATTAAGATCATTTATTTGCTAAAAAAAGTAAAAAATATTTTTATTACAATTAAAAATATTACAAAGAATGCACCACAAGTGTTTTTTGATTTGATAACAGTTTAATTGTGGCAGATATTATAATAAATCAGTGAGTTTTGCACGAGTGAGAGATCATATGATCAGAACTTTCCCTTCTTATATAGCGGTGGATTAACTCGGACACGTCCTCCTACACACCTTGATTCAGCCATCCTCCTGCATGTGGTAAACTAGAAGAGAAAACATACACTCACCTTAAGTATTATTAGGAACACATACTAATACTGTGTTTGACCCCTTCGCCTTCAGAACTGCCTTAATTCTACGTGACATTGATTCAACAAGGTGCTGAAAGCATTCTTTAGAAATGTTGGCCCATATTGATAGGATAGCATCTTGCAGTTGATGGAGATTTGTGGGATGCACATCCAGGGCACGAAGCTCCCGTTCCACCACATCCCAAAGATGCTCTATTGGGTTGAGATCTGGTGACTGTGGGGGCCATTTTAGTACAGTGAACTCATTGTCATGTTCAAGAAACCAATTTGAAATGATTCAAGCTTTGTGACATGTGCATTATCCTGCTGGAAGTAGCCATCAGAGGATGGGTACATGGTGGCCATAAAGGGATGGACATGGTCAGAAACAATGCTCAGGTAGGCCGTGGCATTTAAACGATGCCCAATTGGCACTAAGGGGCCTAAAGTGTGCCAAGAAAACATCCCCCACACCATTACACCACCACCACCGGCCTGCACAGTGGTAACAAGGCATGATGGAGCCATGTTCTCATTCTGTTTACGCCAAATTCTGACTCTACCATCTGAATGTCTCAACAGAAATCGAGACTCATCAGACCAGGCAACATTTTTCCAGTCTTCAACTGTCCAATTTTGGTGAGCTCTTGCAAATTGTAGCCTCTTTTTCCTATTTGTAGTGGAGATGAGTGGTACCCGGTGGGGTCTTCTGCTGTTGTAGCCCATCCACCTCAAGGTTGTGCGTGTTGTGGCTTCACAAATGCTTTACTGCATACCTCGGTTGTAACGAGTGGTTATTTCAGTCAAAGTTGCTCTTCTATCAGCTTGAATCAGTCGGCCCATTCTCCTCTGACCTCTAGCATCAACAAGGCATTTTCGCCCACAGGACTGCCGCATACTGGATGTTTTTCCCTTTTCACACCATTCTTTGTAAACCCTAGAAATGGTTGTGCGTGAAAATCCCAGTAACTGAGCAGATTGTGAAATACTCAGACCGGCCCGTCTGGCACCAACAACCATGCCACGCTCAAAATTGCTTAAATCACCTTTCTTTCTCATTCTGACATTCAGTTTGGAGCTCAGGAGATTGTCTTGACCAGGACCACACCCCTAAATGCATTGAAGCAACTGCCATGTGATTGGTTGATTAGGTAATTGGATTCATGAGAAATTGAACAGGTGTTCCTAATAATTCTTTAGGTGAGTGTATATGCAGTGAAGATAGCCTAATCAATGTACACGTTGCCTGAACCACATGGCCATTAGGCTATGTTTAAGATTTTTTTAAATGAAAAGAGGCAGAGTGGTGTTTTATAATATATTTCGATTTATTGTTGACGAAAAGAGGCAGAGTTTTAGCATATTTCGTTTTATTGTTGCCTAAAATATAGCCTACATAAAGAGATAACTGCCGCTGTTCCATTTGCAGAATAACAGTTTGCGTACTTGGTATTGAGAAACGACCTATGTCAGGTAAAAGGGAAGCATAACATTCTACAGATTATATTTAATGTTGTGTCTGGTGCCTTTATTTCTTCAACAGCTTCAAGTTTAACGCATTTTCGTGTTCCAAGGCCGTTTTGTGGTTATTTTCACACCTAACTTTATACTGCGACTTTTCTCGGCGATTCGCAGTCTTTAAGACCCGCTATCTGTTCCTATTTTCTCACTGATGTTCTCTGGAACTGGAATTCAAACAACATGCGGAAGGCGTCTTAGAGCGATTTCTGCGCGGAACGCCGCAGTTTAACAACGTTTGTGGCTCATATTCATCATGGACCAGAGCATGTGTTTCAAGTTTTTATGGACATGCTATTTCATGCCTACTCTAGGGCTCTAAACACGAACCAGCACGGTGTATGTGTACATATTTCTTCATGTCTTCTTCAGATGAAATATATGTGCAAATAATGCTGCTTTCCAGGCAGGTTTTTGAGCACGTACATCACGACTTCAAACCACGACTCACGACTTTGTAGCGTTCCAGGCCAGTCACACCAAACTACCTGAGCGCAAGGAATTGTGGTAGCTAGATGTAAACAAACCATAGTTGTTTTGTATGGTTTCGCGGGCTATGTGACGTCAGAGCTCGTAACTGGGAGTACATCGATCTAGTACGAGTTCACGGGTGGGAAGTCACAGGTTTGACTGCAGTTCCAGTGCACCTTCACGGGTATAAGGTTGGAAAAACACGGGTGCAGGTTGCCTGGAACGCGGCATAAGGATACTGATACAGCCATATTTAGTGATTAGTCAGACTGCACACAAAGACCTCAGACTGCACACAAACACCTCACACAACCTGCTTTGCTCAATTCTACCTAGCAACCGTTGACCCAATCTGATTGGTCAAGCATTAGCTGACATGCAAAACCTGCAACTGTGAGAACCTTATGGGCTATTTACTACTTCAATGTATTTTTTAGATTATCTTCTTGTTTTCTATTTCTTTTAACAAGCGATTTCTATGAGAGAGCACAACCAGGAAGAAACAGGAATAACTTTTTATTTGTTTTTGTAGGCCTTTTTTCGTAACAGTTATGCAAAACAATACAAAAACAAACAATATAGGCCTATTTATAAAAAAATTGAAAAAATTCAAGCCAGTTTTGCGTTAGCTTATATTTTAATTTCATCTTTGTTTTCAAATATCTTTGTATTTAATGATTAGCATATAATTATATTACACGACCTCTGGCTTAATTGGCCTTTGATCGTTTCCAGTTTCTAAACGCTTGAACAGAAACGCTTTTATTGGCCAGAATTAATTAAATCTAGACTAGCCTACCCCTCAGGGAATACCCATCTAAATGAAACCGAAAGTAGAAAATCGCACGGAAAATGCGAATGAGAACAACCCTAACATGGGCTAACGTTATAGCTTGTAGTCTTCGAAAAGGACAAAATTCCTTTTATTCTTAGTCTTAGTTTAGAAATAAATAAACATTGCACGATGGAGTTCAAGATGCAACATGTAAAAGCGCTGCTCATGGACCTGGCGATAAGTTGTGTGCTACATTACAGCACAAATGCTTTTTTAAAGAATAACAGCAGTGTATTTCTCCTGACTCAACTCTGGTTCGTGGCTGGTGTGAAGTGGGTGAGTCTGTGTTTTCTGCTCGGCAGCTGGAAAGATGCGTCAGTGCGGCGATGGGTAGCGGTGACATGCTTGATGTGTCCGGTTTATGAAAGCGGACTGACGCTCCTGTTCAACACTCAGCCGGAGAACTGGAGCGGGTGTTTGTCTTGCCTTGGAAAAACTATTAGTTCCACAGCTGCAACACTTATAGCTTGTTTGTTCTGGGAAGTAAGTTTTCCAGACACAAAAAGAAAAGTGGAAAGTTCAGAATGCGCGGAGACGAAACAGAGAAACCGGGCGCTCTTCATGCGAGTGGTCCGTTATTCCAAGCCCGACGCCCCCTTACTGAGTGGAGCGTTTGTGTTTCTGGCACTTGCGGTCATATGTAAGTATGGATTAAGAGAAAGACTTTGCAAACAGACTTTTCAAATTAAGTTTAAAACTGTAAATGCTCTTCTTCTTTTTGCATTTTAAAGGTGATATGTGCATCCCATATTACACGGGAAAGGTCATAGACATCCTGGGAGAACATTACCAACCAAACAGCTTCATGTCAGCAATCCTAATCATGGGTCTCCTCTCACTGGGCAGGTAGGCTACTGAATGTTATTTAAAAGTAATCTGTGAGCAATCACAGTTTATAGTTTAATGATTGTGTCAAAAGGTTGTGTCAAAAACATGTGGTCCTGTGTGTTGGAAGATATAGGCTAAATTAATATGTGTGAATATTGTCTTGATCCATAGCTCTTTGTCCTCTGGGTTGCGTGGAGGTCTCTTCATGTGCACTCTGTCCAGACTGAACAAGAGAGTTCGTCTTATGTTCTTTAATTCTTTGGTCAAACAAGAGATAGGATTTTTTGAGGATAAAAAGACAGGTAGGATTAATTAGTTGCTTAAGAGGTAAAGCTTTTACATGCAAAGAACACAAATTTGAAGCGTTTGTGTTCAATTATTATCTCAAACTGTTTTTTATCTGTTGTCAGGGGACTTGACATCACGTCTTTCTGTCGACACCAAGTTAATGAGCCAATCAGTGGCAATGAATGTGAACATCCTTCTGCGTAGCTTAATTAAAAGTGTTGGCGTCCTGTATCTGATGGTCAGCCTGTCCTGGAAACTCACGCTGGTCACTTTCATCGAAGCCCCGCTGATTGCTATCACTCAAAAGATTTACAACACACACTATCAGGTCAGTTTAACTGATTTAGGTATTTAAATGTAACTCAGAGTTGAAATGACATTAATTATAAAGCACATTTTAGATCACCACTGAACCAAGTTGATGTTATCTGATATTAAAATGTAAAATTAAGTGTATGCATCTCATTTTGACTTTTGTCCTCTTTTTCACCAAGTCTTGCTTCATTAACATTTCACATTGTGGACCCTTCACCCATCCTTTGACGAATATATCCTTTGTATATCTGTTTCTTTTCATTTCTGAACGATTTTTTTCTTTTAAATGTTTACACTGAACCAAAACCATCTCGCTGTGCAGCAATTATCAAAAGAAGTTCAGGACTCAGTGGCCAGAGCCAATGAGACAGCAGGAGAAGCGGTTGCCGGGGTGAGGACTGTACGCAGTTTCCGCATGGAACCCAGTGAAGCCCGTCGTTATGACGACCGATTGACTGACACTCACAACCTGAAGACTCAAAGAGATACAGTGAGGGCCATCTACCTATTAGTGCGACGGGTGGGTCTGCTGCATAGGATTCTATCCTTATATAATTAAATTTTAATATATAAAATGTATTTAATATATTTAATTAAATATGAAATATTTATTTGAATATAAAATAGTTAACATGTAGTAAAATACAATGTAATCATTGCAATATATTTCAATATAAGTACAGTAGGTTAAATATACAATACGTTAAGTCAAATATATCACATACTAATCATAATTAACACTCTGCTCAACATTAAACTTTTCTAAAAGCTGTACACATTAATAGATTTTTCTTTGCATCATCAGTCATATAGCATTAGGTTTTATTTACTGTATTTTATTTATTATATTTGCAGCTGATGTCATTAGGAATTCAAGTTCTGATGATGTACTACGGTCGTCAGTTCATCAAGTCAGGCTGCATGAGTACAGGCAACCTTGTGTCCTTCATCCTCTACCAGGGTGACCTGGGATCATACATTGGGGTATGGACTCATTTTGTTCTGATATAGTAACTGTCTCTTTCTTGGTGCATTCATTCAAAGCCCTATCTGAACCCAAATAGTTTTCCTGGGGAGGTCAGGTATATTTGAGTTTCACTGATTCTGTGGTTAAATAAATTTGAATAAAATAATATTTCCAATATGGAAATTGTGGTTTGTATATAATATCATGTATATCATGTATGTACCCTGGATGATTTTATTTTTACCATCATCAGATAATAGAGAAAGTGAAGTGAATTAAGGTGTCAGAAACTGCAGAAACGAATAGTGTATAGCAGTGTTAAATGTGACCCTTAACCTTATTAATTATTAATTTGCTTAATTACATAATGTACATAAATTACTTACATTTATATACACATCCAGACAAAAACTCTAATTTTAGTGTAAGGCCGATTCACACTTGGCAACAGATGGCAACAGACACGGACAGACCGGTTTTGTCAGTGTGTTACTCCTTTTGGAGTCTGTCGGAGTTTGTTTTCACCAATTGAACATGCTGAAATTGGAATTAGAATATCTGAGAAGTGCTGTAATCAGGTGACTGTTGCGTTGGTTTGTGTCTGCCGATGCAGTGCAAAATGGCCTTTAGAAAAAATGTCATCCATAAAATATTATAAATCCCAATAGAAATTTTGCACTATTTTTAATATTTTGTACAAAACTGTGCAATCAGTGAACTCTCTTGTTCTGTCTTTCCACAGTCTCTTGTATACATGTATTCTAACATGCTAAACTCCGTGGGTGCGGCTGCTAAAGTTTTTGAGTACTTGGACAGAAAGACACTGGTGGGCATGGATGGAAGTCTTCATCCTGAAACCTTGACTGGCAAAGTCCACTTCAACAACCTCACCTTCTTCTACCCAACTCGACCTGATCGGCCAGCCCTCAAGGTACAGTACAATGCATTCTGTGCATATTGTATTTGAAACAATATATACAAAATATATTATCTGGATTAGATTAATCTAACCACAGTTAGATAAATAGATTACTCTAAAAAAAAAAAGTAACTTTTGAGTTCCTTTTTATTTTTAGTCGCTTAGTAAAACTTTATATTTCCTATATATCTCCAAATAAATGTATTTGTATATTGTATTCAAATTCTGTATTTAATTAATATGCTGTTTGATTGATTGATTGTTTTCAGAACTTCTCGCTGGAGTTGAAGCCGGGTCAGATGACGGCTCTGGTGGGAATGTCAGGTGGGGGGAAGAGCACCTGTGTGAGTCTGCTGGAGAGATTCTACCAGCCTCAACAGGGACAAATTCTGTTAGATGGGCAACCACTGCAGAACTACCAGCACAAATATTTGCACCAGAAGGTCATTTCGGGATTATTAAATCATCGCATTGCATTATTATGTCCATTGTGAAATTATTTGACTCTAATATAGACTCTTGCTCATTTATACTTAAGGTGGCCATGGTAGGTCAGGACCCTGTGCTTTTTTCTGGCTCCATCAGGGACAACATAGCTTACGGTTTGACTGATTGTGATCAGAAAAAGGTGGAGGATGCAGCCAAAGATGCCAATGCCCATGATTTCATCAGTCGACTAGAAAAAAGATATGACACAGGTACAGCTAAAGAATCATTCTGCCATTTATGCATGCTAATAAATGCATTGCAGTTACTATTTGAGTCTCTGGAAATTATATTTTCAAATGTAGAGTATTTAACATACCATATCTCTTATTTATTTTGGCATATTACTTCAGTTGTTTGTTAGGACCTTTCATTAAATCTGTGTATGGGTATTATGTGCATTAGATGTTGGAGAGCGTGGTTGTCTTCTCTCTGGGGGTCAGAAGCAGCGTATTGCTATTGCCAGAGCTCTAATCAGACAACCTCAGGTGCTCATACTGGATGAGGTCACCAGCAGCCTGGACACTGAGAGCGAACGCATGGTACATTTTTCATCACCTCTACTTTACTGCATTTCAAAACAACTTCTGGTGAATCTGTTGTATTACAGAAAAATAAGCCCATTTACACTTATCTCAACAACTTTTCTTTTTTTTATACCACATTGCTTTATTTCATTAATAGGTTCAGGATGCTCTGGCCCGTCATCCCAACCTGACCTTGCTAGTGATTGCACATAGGCTGAAAACAATTGAAAGGGCAGACCAGATCATTATGATTGACAAAGGGGAGGTTGTGGAGCAAGGGACACACCAAGAACTGATGAAGAAGAAAGGCAGTTACTATAAACTGAGAGAGAGGCTCTTCACTGAAGAAAAAGTAGACGAGGAGGAGGTCAAACACGAATGACTTGCTTATTATAAGCTCTTTCCAAGAACACATTACTTTTTATAATAACAGGCAGCAAATTCACAATGAAACAGAGTTCGTTTCCTTTTAAAATAGCATTGTATTCATTAAACATTTAGCTTTTCGTTAGCTAACCGTTTTTATTTCAACGTTATACATTAAGTCAATTAGTGCTCTCTTGTTTGAAAGTCTAAGAAAACAGCAAAAGCAATAAAAATATAAAACAGAAAAAGATGGCAAAATTGATTTGGGTATTGTCAATAAGATACTTCTTACTGTATGTGAATATACACCTATACTTGTGTTTCATTACTCATTTTGTCATTCTGATTATTATACCAATATGTTCTTGTGAAATGTTTTCATTTTCCTTAGAACAATTATCTGCAAGGTCTAAAATATTAAAGATGAACATTGCACAAAGAAAAAATGAGAGAATGTTTTTATTGATAAATCATACAAATGCATTAAACATAATTTTTGTTCACACTTTTGCTGCCTTGGATGGCTCCATTATATCTGGATCATAGAATGTAGGAAGCTGGTTTCCGAGAACACATTTCTCTTCCACGCCTTCACTGTCAATGGTAACAAGGTAGGCCACACCCCCGCTGGAACCATCTCTGCTCATTGCCAGTGACAGACCTTGAAGTACGAGGCACATTGTAAATTAGAAAGGATTCACAATACTGCACATTGGAAAGAATTTTAAGCCAAAAAATGTTGTTGACTTTTCACACACTGACATTCATATAGGCACAGTCAATAGGCACAGTATTTTAAAGCAACACTAAGTAAGATTTTTTACCTTAAAATAATGTTTTCAAAATCATTTCAGTGGTTTATCAAGTCGTGACATGGTGAAATGCACTTATGCCACCGCTTTGCGGTCCTATCTGATATATCCACGCTATGTAAGATTGCCAGATCGGGTCGCGTTTCTGTAGTCCGAATGAGACATAAGAAAACGACTAATTTGACTTGCTTTACGGCAAGCGTTACAATTGCCGATAGGTGGAGCGTACTCGACAGTAGACTACAACTACATGTAAGATACCTAGCAGCCGGGTAGCTTTTGAATTGTCATCATGATTCCAAAGCCGGTGCTGGATAAACAGAGCATGTGCGTGCGTGCGACAGTAGGATGCGGTAGGCTAAATTATTTACGACAGCAGTAATGGACAATTACGCTTCCAACCTGTAGGGCGACCGCAGAGGAAAAGTTACTTGGTGCTGCTTTAAGTAGGCCTAACATAAGTGGACCCCTTATAAAGTAAATTGCTCTGGTAAAACAATTAAGTTAAGCATGTGACTCTTGAAATCTAACTATAGAAAAAAAACAATTTATATGTGACGCACTGTTGATCACAAACTCTTGGCTCTCCTGTCTGGTCATGCGTGGTCTGTATTCAGCATCCACAAAGCCATAGATATAAAAACTTCCAGAGCCACCCACTGCAAACGGTTGTCTGGTAATTAACCCATTAAGGGTCGCATAGACCTGCAAAGAGAAACACATCTACTCAGTATTTACTTCACATTTTTTTTGTTAAAAATGAATGAAAATCCATTACTGAGAGAGGACATAATATCAGTGTTCTTCCTTATCCAGATTCATACGGCGATCCTACAATCTTATTTGACATTTTTAGCTATCTGATCTTTTTTAATTGAATGGTAAACACACAACACAAAGAATTTAGAGATAAAACAAGACACTCAAATAGAGACTACATAGGGTTTAAGAAGTAAAAAAAATAATAATAAATGGAATAAAAATAAAATGGAAGAAATAAAATATAATTAAGACAGCAGTTAAAAGTTTTACTTTTCAATTAAAGCTGCAGTCCGCAGTTTTTCCCTCTTTGTCACCATCTCTGTTCGAAATCTGCAATTGCAGAGTCATTCGCATAATTATCAACTTTACGTGAGTTGTAGTTTGACACGGCACAGCGCGGATGAACACAATGTTTGAGGAGAGTGTGTGGTTGTCAGTCGCCGCGCTGGTGTGGAAACTGGCATTCAGAATCACAGATTATTATTTTTGGAAGTATGACCAACAATAATTTTCACCAGAAAATTTCATCTGAACAAGTAACATCCACTCTTCTTTATGTGACTCTTCTTTATGTGTACAGATGTGACGTAATGACGCAAAGACATGCTCGAATCTCCCGCGGAAATCCACCAGTACCACTGGAATTAAAAACAATAATACAAGCTTACCGTTTTGAATCGAGCTGAGGCAAGCAGATAGTTTTGAACACTGGCTGGTTATGCATTTTCTCAAATATGTATTTTGGATCATTTTTAACCCAAAAAAAGCAGCTTTAACTAACTCTTTAGCAAAAATATAATTGTATATATTTTATTATCAATATTTTTAAGAGTCAATAAACATAACAAATATATCCATAAAAACCTCAAACATGGTTTATTTAGTCCTTATGCTCTTGTGCATATGAAATTCACCAAATAAAATAAGATTCACCAATAACAGATAAACAACTACATTTTTGGAATCAAAATATATAAAAACATATTTGCTGCATTTGCAAGTTATGTCAAATTATATGCTATCTGTTGAACAAAAGTTGAAAAAGGAACAACTTTCATCAATGTCCAAAGATTTTGATTATGAGCTATGGGGTCTCATTTGATAGGAAATTATGGATTAACGTCAAAAAACGATTGTCCAGTTACAGATTTGTGTATGAATGCTGAGGAATGGTTGAAGCTTGACAAAAATGTTGTTGCATAGAATTTGAACTAGTTGACTATTAGCACACAATGGCTGCATCCTAAATCTTAAAAATGCTGCCTTCGGAGTTTACATTTCAAGGTAGGAAAGCATCAAGGTCCGAATTCAGTGTTAGCTTCACTTCTGTCTCCCGAGATACCTTCATCTCATCGGTTTTTGAAGGCAGCATGCATCCTTCGCTGCCTTTGATATCCCACAAACCTGTGTTTTTCAATCTGTGACAGTTGAGCTAATAAATAAAGATGGCATCTGCGGTTGGTGGTCACTTTGTGTGTAAATGTCCATTTTTGACCAACGTTTTCCACTTTTTATGTCATATCAGTGATAAATTATTATAGTACTTTAATATTCTCTAAGTTTTCACCAAAGCTCGCTCTATTTTTTATGTAGATCATTGAACTGTTACGCTGCCTCAGAAGTCTGTCTGAAATCAGTTTTCATGAGATACTCTTATGTGCTAACACTGCCTGCAGTCATTGCCTGATAGGGCAGCGAGGCAACGAGTCAGCTGCCTAAGTTTTCGGACGGAGCTGTAAGACTGGGAAACTGGTTGAAGCTGGAAATTAACATTTGGCCTTGTAAGAACTGGTTGGAGACACTGTCTTGACCACATGGTCTACTGAAACAAAGGAACTTGCTGAAATAGCATTCGACCTCCCCCTCACGCAGTCTCACCTGATTTACATTTCACCCAGTAACAGCTAAAACTCACATAAGAATATATATATGGTTTAATGTGAATGATTATCATTGAGTATTGTGTTTAGTATTATTTAAACTGTCGCAGGGTAAGTGATACATATGTCTCATTTCCAAATAAGTAAAAACAAAAGGAAATAAGGTTTTTAGAAGTTTAGGAATAACTGGCACACAAAGGAATGTGGTCTCTAGGCACTCCCAAAGGTGTAAATTCATGAATGCTAATTTCCACTGTTCTTAGCAGATGGTAAAACTTCCTACCCCCAGTAGTGGTGGGGGAATACAGTAAATTTCCACTAAACTCTAGATTTACATATGAAATGAGGTCTGGCTATTTAATGGAATGTAGCAAGGGATCGTGGCTTTTTCTGTATTTCAGATCAGCCCGTGAGGTAGCTCATGTAGTTCTTAAATGTTGGGTTTGCATCTATTTCTCTATTCCTAAAACATTTGATGATTTGCATTGATTATCTTTCAATTGATTATGGAATTGTTATAATACATTTACCTGACATAATAAATTGTTATATTTGATTATTCTAACAGACTTTGACTTTATTTTCATTGGAGTTAAAAGGAAGAGTCAAACATTAACGTATACTTAATGATGCACAGATATCACTGAAAAACACTTTCATTTTATGGAGTCAGATGAAACGAGTTAATACATAAGATAAAATGTATTGTATTTAATTAAAAATCCCTTTGCCATTGGAAGAGACGGAACGCGCATGTGACCTTCACCTCTAATCGAGGACTTCAGTTGGCTCGAATTAGACGGACTTACAAAGCCAATCACATTTCTAAACGGCAACTCTCTTAAACCTACTGGAAATCAACTATTGTCAAAACCAGTTCAACAACATAGAACTGCAAAGACTGTTCAATCAAAAGGGGAAAGTGACAGAGGGCGAAAACAAGATCTGAACCAGAGCGTTAGATATAAATCCTGTTCATATGTGTGGCCTGTGGGTTTGAGGCGTTCTTCATTGTCGTCAAGCTCAGTTTGAGCCTGCGCAGTGCGCTTGGCAATCAGGAAGTGTGTGCTTATAATTGACTTCACTTTTCTCCGTTGAAGTCTATGGGGTCGCTGTGTCCATTTCTTTTACTGTCTATGGGAGCCATACACTGTAGCTAGCTGCTAATGTGTTGGAGTGCAGCAGTGTTCCGGGGTGCTGTTCGTAGCGCAAGGTGTTGCCGAGTAATTGCCAATGGCGCTACTGTTTGTATGTGTGTGTGTGCGATTCCGAAACATGTTTGGATTGCCTAGATTGACGAGCACAGAGGAGCGTTCCGTGATCATGGTGAAACTGTGAAGCGCCGAAACACTGTTCACTCACCCAATCGCTAGACTGCAAGCAGAGGCTGCAGCCAATCCGATTGCCAGCTGTTGTTCTCTTGAATTTGTTTAAATGTGTATGAATGTCCAGGTGCTGCTTTTTAGACACTTTTCTATAACGTTTTCTTTTTTTCTTTTCTTTTTTCTGCTAAACGGTGGTTTGTAAGAGATTTGTGTTAGTGAACTGATTGTGACCACCGGCTAGAGGTTTCTTCTTCTTTTTTTTTTTTTTTCATCCCCTTCCCTAGTAATAGTCTCGGTGTGGATTGATTGGGCCCATAGGATAGACTAGCTTGCCAGGATCTAGTCTAGTTTCCTTAGTGTTTCACCCATTTGGAACCGATGTGTGCAGTGTAATGCTGTGATGTGTGCATCTTTTGGAGATGGTTCAAAGAGCATGATTGCCGTGGTTGTGTAGGCTGAGCTTGTAGTGTTTGTTCTACTCAAAGTGGTGTGCTTTAGCTCACATGTGGTATTGAAACGTAGGCCTGGGCAAGCTTGTAATCCGGTGACCCACCCTCCTATGGCTAATCCCTATGGTAAATTATGTATTTTCGTGTTATTTATTGACTACCAAAAGCGACTCATTTTTTACTGAAATAAAATAAAGATTGTATCTTTTTACTTTAAGCCAAGCCTGTGCGTGCTTTTTGTTGCAACATAGAGTCATGTTGGAACAACATGAGGGTGAGTAATTACTGACAGAATTTTTCATTTTGGTGTGAACTAACCCTTTAATATTTATCCATCTCTGGTCATGATTTGGAGACAATGAGCATATGAACCATTTTGCCGTGCTGCTTATATTTATCACGCAATAAAACCCTGCGTCGTCTGTGGATGAGAGTCTAAAACGAAGACTGGTGGGACGTTGTCCTACTCCACTTCACAGATGCAGTGAAATGAGAATTTTAGAATAACGGGACACTCATTTAGATGACACTTTATTCAACAGGAAGAACAGCTCGATCCGTGCGTCATGCGTCATTACGCTATTTCAACGGAATTGCACATGCGCAGTCCTTTCAGTTTCCGTTTTTTTAATCCGATCAAGTGTTTACAATGTTCTTTCGATCGGATTACAAAAGGAATAAACCACCCCTTTCAATCCGATCGAAATTCCAATTGGATCGAGCTCAATCAGATCGATTAAGGTGTTTACATGAAGGTTTTTTAGTCCGATTTAGCCGTCAATCCGATTATAAGGGTCCATGTAAACGCAGCTAATATGTCACAAAATATAAGTAAGAAAAGACAATCGCAATTTCCGTTATTAACGCCGATATAATTTGCATTATTTTGTTTGTTATTTCACTGTATGATTATCTGTTGTTCATCTTTCTTTTCATCTCAGTATGATCTAGCATTTAATTTCTTAACACATTGGCCTACACACATGTAGGCCTAAGGCCTGCATCAGGAGTGGACTGGCCATCTGGCAGACCGGGCACTTTCCCAGTGGCTCGACGTGCTTTTTGGGCTGATACATCTCACATTTTAAAATATATACAGTATATACAGAGGTCCACTCACCGCAGATTTACCAAAAATCCTGTGCATGGGAAACCCTGGTATTCCTATGCCAATACAGCTTATAGCTTGTTTTAGGATTCATCACTGTGGACTATAGTTCAATTGTATTTTACAATTAGTAGTTATTCTGTTAACTCTTACTCATTCCTACTCACTCGTTACATGGCATTAGTGGTTTTAAAGAAATAGGAGTTGGTATACATATTCAAAGGAATGCAAAGATCTGTTGTGTTTATGATCATATAGTGGGCCGGTCTGGGACAAAATGCCAGGGCTGATTTTTTGTCCAAGTCCAGCCCTGGCCTGCGTGTAAACATAAATAACCACTTCGTACCTGTCCCCCGTCTTTCTTGTCCCATCCACCCACAATGAGATGAGCAGAAAGTTCCTCTTTGTATTTGTAAGATATGTTTTTCACAAGAGTTGCTGCTGAGCACACCAGGGGTTCTTCGTCCACCTCAATGCTGATAAACAGATTTACATAGAAAGTTCAGCAATATAAATGTATTGTGTACCTATAAGTGCAATATCTTCTGTATGAAAGTGTTCTTTTACCTGTGCACATCCAGTTGGTAGTTGACTATCTCAGCAATGGTTTGAGCATCCGCTGCTGATCCAGACAGAGCGCAATAGATCTTGTCATGGAGGGGGGAGAGCTTGTTCATCACACGATTCACCACTGTCTCCCTGTGGGAAACAAGACGAAGATTAAAGTAAGACAATACATGAATCTAAAGATCCAGGGAGGTATTTTATAAAATAGTAGCACTGCAGACTAGCAAGATGTCAGTACGTCCATCGTCCATCGAGTGGGCTAAGTCTCACCCTGCAGAAACTCTAGAGTCGGAACCAAGCACTACTCCACCATCGAACTCTATGGCTATTATTGTCGTCTACAGATAGAATACAAGGAAAACAGCGTTAAATATTTAATTATGGGAAAAAAAATACAATAGAAAAGCAACATTATTCTGTTTGACGGAATCACTTAGATCGACTTACTCCCATTTTGAGTCCTTTGGACCCGCCATAGTCGCAATTACTCCCTTGCATCGTGTCTGGCTGTGATCGCTTCGGTACAGCTGGTATTAACAATTACAAAATAATTGGATACGCGGTTTAATTCTTTAAAAACTGATTAAAATGTGTCGGCAAAAGAGACAACGCAGCCTACTTTCACTTTCGTGCTAAGGCGTCACGACGCTGAGCTGCGCGCTTCTGTGCGCACAAACTGCATCCACGTCCTCATTTACGCCACCTGCTTACAATTGTTTGGTTAAAAATATCAAGTCATTTAAATAAGTTGTTTTCTTTCTGTCATTTCCTGTCATTTTGCACATAGACTCTTAACAAGCCCATTCAAACAAATTAAGTTTTAATTGAAACAATGACTTAATTGAAGTTCTTGTATGTTAAATACCTAACCAAACACAAAGGTGCCTGTTAAAATTAACATTTCCCCCACAAAATGTACACTGTAAAAAAAAAAAAAAAAGAAGAAGCTTGAGGCAACCAGTTTCAGGATCAAGGCCTATTTGAAATTACTCAATTTATGAAAAAATTAAGATGAAAGTTGGTCTGTGCTTTTATCGAACGCAATATAAGTTCTATAAACTCAAAATTATTTTTTTACTTAGATCCACATTCAGTCAGCTTGCATTTTAAGCCAATCAATATAGTTTATAATAGTGATAGAACTCTCTGAGTTTTTCCAACTGAAAAAGTTCAATAGACTTGTAATTCTTGACTTCCGGTCAATGGCGTCCATCAACTGTCTGGTAACCCATATTCTTCAAAATATCTTCTTTTGTGTTCAGCAGAAAAAAGAAACTCATACAGGTTTGAAACAACTTGAGGGTGAGGAAATGATGACAGAATTTTCATTTTTTGGTGAACTATCCCTTTAAGAGCCTTTGACCATGGATTGTTGTAACAGGAGTTGAGTTGTAACACCAAATTTAACCAATTAGAAATAAACTATAGTGGTGACATCATTACATGTGATGCAGAGTGGTATTTGTAATAACTTTTCATTCAAGTAAATTTGACTAACAAATTATATTCAGGTACATAACTGAAATTGATAATGTTTTCTATATTTTCTGTTTTTATATAAAATTGTATCTAAAAGTTTGAGGCACAAATATCAAAAACACTTTAAAAAAGTTCGCTATCTCCTTTATCAATTCTGTACCATGAATTTCTGGTTTTAGTAAAAATGTGAGATGTGAGATTTTTGTTTTATAAAGCATGTAGAACTTGCTATTTGAACTGTATCATGTACTGGATTATGTGAATAACAGCACATATAAGCAAATTTATCTAATAAAATCAACTTGAGCATATGAATTTTTCCCAATATTTGGGTTTATTCTACAAAAAATACAAATGATTTTATGACAGGCTACATAAAAACTGTTTGCAAGCATGCTCATACACAAAGAAACAAAAATAATGTTTTTGGCCTTTTTAATGACTGACTGATTCATGTAATGATCAATGTTTACAGTGCAAAATTCATAAGAATACACACAAGTGAAAACAACAACAGGTAAAAATGCTGACACTTATGCTAAGCGCTGTAGAACAGGCAGTTTGTTGCCCGGAATCAGCTGCCTCTCTGCACCCTTCTCCGTCACAATGGCAAGATGCACAACGCCGCCACTCACATTGTCCCTGTCCATAGCTAATGAGAGGGCTGGGGAAAATAATTTATAATATGTGAATAGTTCTGTGTTACTGAGACAAAAAAGCACAATGAAAAAGAAAGTAAGAAAGACAGATTAATGGAAAGGGAGTGAGTGCAGCTGTCAAAGTGCATAAAATAAACTCTGCAATTATCCATACCATTAGTTGTGAAAGTGAGACACTCTTCTCTGGTCATTCCAGGCTTGAATTTGGCATCTGCATATCCATAGATATAGGTGCCACCAGACCCACCAATAGTAAACTCCTGCTCCACAATCATGCCTCCAAGAGACACCTGGAACACCTTTGAAAAAATAATAAGTCTCATTATATTTATATTTCATAATTGAAAAACACAATAGATGTATGAAATGAAAAATGACATAACAAACCTGAGGGCCCCTCTTGCGATCCCAACCAGCCACAATAAACCCGGCACTAAGTTCGTCTCGATGGGTATAGCAGAAGCTCTTCATAATGGCGGCAGCAGATTGGACCAAGGGGGGTTCCTCCATTTGCATGCTAAAACAAATGTATCAACAGCTAGCATTAAATATAAAGTAAGTCACAGTCACAGATGATGGTAAGTTGGTTGCTATGGCATATGGGAATATTTATGCTCTTGTATCCATTATTGTGTATAGGATAATACTGTCATTGCTGAAAAAGTCAAAGTGATAAATGCTCACCTGTGAAAACCGAGCTGATGGATGACAGCATTTGTGACAGCCTGAGCATCAGCAAGGGATCCAGCCATGCAGCAGAATATCTGGTCATGAATCTGGATAACTTTGTTGATCACTCTTGATGATACATATTCTCTAAAGGCATAATTATCAACAGTATTAGATAAGTGGTTCATGTGTAACTTCAAAGAAAGAAGAAAGAACACTTACTCTCCCATAGAGGCTCGTGAATCAGATCCAATCACCACTCCCCCGTCATATCTCACAGCTATAATTGTTGTCTAAAATGTAATTCATTAAGATATCAGCACAATATTGTTTCGATATGAGGGTCTTGTGAGTCTAATAACTCGTGCATCTTATGCTTTCGCTTTCAATTTGGATTTAACAAAAAAATATGGCGAGATTTAGGTTACAAACAAGATTTTATGTTTTAATCTTGAAAATGATGCACTACATAAGTAGGGTACATATACAAAGCTGATCAATGTTGAACAATTGTCGAAAAATATCTTTACAGCGACTCCAAGTTTTCCAATCGATTGTCTTACCCCTGTGCTGACTTTGGATGACCGCCATTCGCCATTGATACCCATTTCACTCATTTTTTTTTTGTTTTGTTTAAGGCTTTTCTACCGTCGACGTTGCACCTTCGGACACCTTCGCTGTTTGATGACGGTTTTGGGGAGTCGTGACGAATTTCCTTATAGCGCGTGCGCCTCCATTCGGTTTGACATCGCTTCATTCGGGATAATTTGTTGCGCCGTGAAGAGTGACAATGTCTTCTCCTTACGTACTCGAGCTCGCTAGTGGTGGCTTTAGTTTTGAAAACTGTATCAGGTAGGTTTTACAGATTAGTCAGTCGTAATCGTAGACTTTAAACATTTGTGAAAAATGATAATATAGTTAAATACTTTTAAAGTTTGTAGAAGCTAAACGAAAGTGAAAGGAAATCACGCAGAAACTCGTTTTTAAATTGGGAAGTCTGTTTTTAAAGAATTTTAACTTTAATTATATATTATAAAATTATGCTAATTGTAGTAAACGTGCACTATTATTAAAAGAACCAATTAAACGTGCTAAATTGTGAACCTGCAGAATATGTAAGTATACAGCATCTGTTGCCAACAGAAACTCAAGGCTTCAGGTTTCAGGGGAGAAAACCACAAAGCTTAAGGTTAAAAAAACTGGAACAACAATTGCTGGAGTCATTTTCAAGGTACAACAGTTTGCATTATTGTACAATAATTGCCCACAACGACATGTAATAAGTGTTTTTCTCTGTGTTCTGTATTCCTTTCCTGCTCAGGATGGTGTAGTTCTTGGTGCGGATACTCGGGCAACATCTGGAGAGGTTGTTGCAGATAAAAACTGCAGCAAAATTCACTATATAGCTCCGAATATTTAGTAAGCATCTATTACTGACTGAGGTTTTGCAAACATTTTCCCAGGAGAAAGACACTAAAAGGATGTAATATTACTCTTGTGCCATTGCCTCCTGCAGTTGTTGTGGTGCTGGCACTGCTGCGGATACAGAGAAAACGACAGATATGCTGCGTTCCAATCTCGCTCTCCAGATCCTCTCCATGGGCCGCAACCCTCGCCTCATCATGGCCAGTCGCATTTTGCAGGACTTTCTTTTCAGGTAGAAAGATTGATTGAGTTGGAGAACGGGACAAATGTTGTCCTATAATGTTTTCTCGGAGTTGTTGTCACCATAATAGCACTATGGAACTTTTTCACAGACAGTGATGATTCACATAAACATTGTAAATAGCAATGTTTATGTGTACATTTACAACACTGTCATTTGTGTTATATTACCTTGGCATTAATTTACATAAAACTAGTTAACACATCTGCAAGGGTGTTTATAAAACAATGGCTGAGGGAGTAATGACAAATTGGTCATTTTTCTCTCTTCTAACTCTGTAATCAATCTCTTGATATTTTTTGGTCTTTTGGAAAAGCATAAAAATGCTACTGTAATCCACAGTAGCATTTCTATGCTTTTCCAAAAGACAAAAAAAATATTCTTTTGCTATTGGATGCACTAAACAAAACTTGTATGCAGAATAAATTAACTAAATAAATCAATACTTTTGCTATTGGAGAAAATTGGAATGCAAATATTACATTTGTTGTAGTTTCTATTCACTACTACGTTTACCCAAACACTTTCACTCCGAGAACCATATGAGAGAGGTCTCATCTCCTATATGGTCTCATCTTTGAATGAAATGTAGATCCATCAGATCAATAAATATCACTGGGGCCTCCTAATTTATATTTAATGAGTTACACTTACATACAACCAGACAGGGTAAAGGTTATGCGTATTTGGCATGCTGTCTGAGGGGAGGCTTGAGCTCAGAATTTAGCCCAAACCCAGAGTAGGTAACCCCCCTTTTATTTATTTACATATAGGCACAAGGGCCAAGTCAGTGCCATGCTGCTGTTAGGTGGGGTGGACTGCACAGGACCTCATATCTTCACTGTTGGTCCCCATGGCTCTGTCAACAAAGCTCCATTTGCAACAATGGGTTGGTATCTGTTATATCTGTTGGTATATGTTAATTTCCTCATGCAACTCTTAAGACATTAAGAATATGTTCAGACAACAAGCAAGTGCACTTCAAATTAACTTAAAGGTTTAGTTCACCCAAAAATACTAAATACATTACTCACCCTCTTGTCATTCCAAACCCTCAAGACAAATTAAGATATTTTTACTGAAATTCAAGAGCTTTCTGACAGCAACGTCATAACCCCTTTCAAGGCCCAGAAAGGTAGTAAAGACATTGCTAAAATTGCCCATGTGACTCGAGTGGTTCAACCTTAATGTAATGAAGCAACGAGAATACTTTTTGCATTCAAAAACAAAATAAAAATAACCACAACACATGCATGTGATGCTAGCTGCAAAGGATTCGGCCAATAGTGAGTCGCCGTTCTGACGTAGAACCCGAAAGTGTTGTACTGTGTTTACAACGTGAACAGCATCGGAGAAGTGAAGGAAGAGAAGAAATTGTTTAATAGTCGTTATTTTATTTTATTTTTGTGCACAAAAAGTATTCTCGTCTCTTCATAAAATTAAGGATGAACCACTGGAGTCACATGAACCATTTTAACAATGTCTTTACTACCTTTCTGGGCCTTGAAAGTGATTATGATGTTGCTGTCTATAGAGGGGTAAGAAAGCTCTTGGATTTCATCAAAAATATCTTTATTTGTGTTCCGAAGATGAGCGAAGGTCTTATGGGTTTGGAACAACATGACAGAATTTATATGTTGGGGTGAATAACACTTTAAAATAAAAACCATGAAAAAAAATCTATGTTTTTTTATAGTTATGTGGTATAATTTTTTGGAAACTCTTCAAAGCTCTGCAATGAAGCGTTGTTTTACCTCACTTGTAGGATCTGGTGATCTGGCGGCTTTGGCTGTCTTTGAAGACCGTTTCAAACCCAATATGACAGTAGGTTTCTGAAGTGTAATGTATTTGTATTTGTCAAGCCATATTTTGAATATATGTGTTGTGTCTGCATTGTAAAGACCACACCAAATCCATAACTTAAAAACCAGTGTAACTCAATGTCAATGAAAATTAGAGTAAAGCAGTCTTAAACTATCCATATTTCAAGTGAGTGTGTGTGTGTGTGTGTGTGTGTGTGTGTGTGTGTGTGTGTGTGTGTGTGTGTGTGTGTGTGTGTGTGTGTGTGTGTGTGTGTGTGTGTGTGTGTGTGTGTGTACACACAGGAGGAGGTGGCCAAACTTCTTGTTCGGGATGCTATAAGTGCAGGAATTATGAATGATCTTGGCTCTGGAAGCAATGTAGACCTGTGTGTCATTAGAAAGAATGAGATTGAGTACATACGACCATTCGAGAGCTCAAACTACAAAAGTAAAAGGTAAAAAAACGTATCTTGCCTTCTGTCTCTTTTTTTATTCATTATCTCATCTGTACAGTCCACAAAAGCATGATTTTTAATATAGTGATTAAATTGGTAAAGGTGAGCAATGCTTTCATTATATTTTTCAAGTGAGTATTGGCAGGTGTCAACAGAGACACTTATGATTAATAACATAAGCATAAGCCAGTTCTGCATAAAAGTTTTTTTCTTCCTCAATTGTATTAGGCTTTTGTCTTTATTTCAGTCACACTGCCATAGAAATGCTAAACACATTATCTAACTTTTGCAAATGAAGATTAATATTCTTAATAATTTTCCATATTTATATCCTACAGGCAGAGAAAATACAAATATCCAGAAGGAACAACTTCTGTCATCGAGGAACGAACCATAAATCTGAATCTGGATTTAGTAGAGGAGACTGTGCAGCAAATGGAAGTAGCACAGTAGATCGATATTTTACATTGAAACAATATGTGTACTTATGATCACCATATTGTATTGTTCAAGAATTGATATGAATCTTACTGCAATTTAGTAAACATTGGTTAAGCATAACAAGTGATAATTCCATTCTCTCTTTGTAGTGCATATTTAGATGCTTCAGGGTAAAGGAATGTTTTGCTGATGTTATTTTATACAATGCATTATATAGCCTATTATTTTCTACAAAAATATAAATAAAAATAAAACCTGTTGTGCACCTATAATTTCTACATCATTGTGCTGACTGAACGTAGAATTTTTTTTTTTATTGCTTTAAACAACAAAACAATCCAACACATTTTAGAGCCAGGGGAGCAAAGACCACACACATATATATATATATATATATATATATATATATATATATATAATAACAAAATTATAATAATAAATCACAAAAATACAAGACTTTTGTATCAATCAAAGATTTTGAAAACAGTACACAAATGAACAGTCTTAATAGCTTGTACATTAGTACTAAGAAAAAGGGGATTTTTGTTAGAAAACTTACACTTATGGATGTGAAATTTGACTAATAAAATTAACAGATTAATAACAAAAGCCTCCTTAATCACACTGTTATCATACTTGAATATCCAAAAATTACATTTTCAAAATGCAAAACAAAATTAAAGAATATACCTTTTCCTTAATAAACATAGACAGCTCATAACATTTTCACAGGACTACAATGCCATAAAATATGGGGTGTTTCCAAGTGCAAAGAGCAAAAAGAGCAACTTACATAAATGTCTTTTTTAAACTTACTAAGGAAATGTTTGACAGGCTAGAATTTGTGCAATATCTTAAAAGAAATTTCTTTGACCTTGTTTGTGGCAAAAAAAAACTTATGAGGTAATAACCAGACACTTTCCCAATCAAGGTCATTAACAAATTTAGTCCAATAAGCAATAGCAAGATTTGGTGACAACCTCCTTTAAAAATAGACAACGAATAGATTTGTTATTGCTTTTTGGACTGTAAAAACAACAACTAATTTTACCACATACTGTGTCAGTCAGCTACATAAGAAAATTAATCCAGAATTGATTGCAGATAATACAAGAGCAAATTCCTTGGGAGTCACAGGCAAATTAAAGTGCAAAAGAAACTCCTGGGGCCTCATTTATAAAACTGTGCGTAGGATCCTTACTAAAAGTGTAGCCTACGTGCGCCCGAAAGCCAAAAATGGCGTACGCAAACAAATATTCAGACTTATAAAACCGTGCGTACGCCATAACCTGCGCAGAATTCCCTTTCTAAATCCCAGTCAGCGGAAGATTGTGCGCACATGCGTCTCCACCCCGAAATAACCATATATGGAGCTTACAACGCCTAGTTTTACTATGCAAATCCTCATCTGCATATCATTTGCATATGATTATTCATCCACGTGATAACATGTTTAACGGTAGGCCTACAAGACATTTGTAAAATATGAAATACGGATGTGCCGTCACATTAATTACATGAATAAAAATAATTTAGTAGCCGATCCTTGACTTGTTTTTGAATAAATAAATCAAATAGTGTAAAATACAGTTCAGAGAAAGTTTTTCTCAATCTTTTCCACTGGCCAAATAGTATTTTTAATTGATTTATATTTTTAATGGAAACAGATAGACCATTATCTGCATTATTTGCACGAAACTATTTTCTCAGACAATCTGATTATCATGATAAGCAATTATCTCTGTAGTTAACACATTAAAACACAGCATGCCAGAGGAAAAGTGTTTGAAAGCATTGCATCCACAACAAATATTTCTATTTATTGAATATAAAAAATAAGATTAAATCCGATTAAATATGCCATTAATCAGAATGGCATATTTAATCTAAATGTTTATATCAGAAGTAAAACATAGTTTAAATCATTCTTTTATTTATTTAAACTGTTATTGTGAACATATTTCACAGAACACTGTATTTATGATTATAATGAAGATTTACGGTTTTAGATAGGCTGCGTCAGTTTCACTAAACGCCCCAACGCGCTCGCTGGCGCGGACATTTAAGAAGGGATGGATGTTTGCTTCATGTGATAGGCTTGGTGAGTGAAATTATATTTGTATTATCTTTCTGTATAGGTATAGTTTTCTAGATTTTCTGTCTAAAAGTGACCAAAAAGACATTTAATTCCATCTCTCCATCAGTGTCGCCAAACAGCTCCATCTCCAAAACGTTCCTACGCATGGGTCAGAGTTTGCGTGCAGGTGAGCAAATTTTCCAGTCAAGTTTGTTTTTGTCGGAAGTGGCGTACGCATCTTTCATGGCCTGTTTTGTGCGTACGCAACGGTTATAAATGAGGCCCCTGATCCTTAGTGTTAAACAAATGACAAACTTAAACAATACCCTTTTCAAACCAGCTTTAAAAAAATACGTTTGTGTTTATACAAAATACAATGGTTATTCCAAATAAAACAATGCTGCGGAGAGAATTCAATTCAATTCAACTTTTATTTATATAGCGCCATTACAACAACCAGAAAGGTGCACAAAGCGCACACATAAAAAAGACAGCAGTATACAAAAATTGCAAGTTAAAGCTAATTTAAGCAGTTAAAACAAAATAGCTAGCACAACGACTAAGAACAAAACAAGTGGTTTTGAAGTTGTGTTCGTAGATCAGTTTCAAAGCCAATAAAGCTTGAGCATGAAAGGCAGAAAGTTTCACTGGCAATTTGTCAATTTTATAATCACACATTAGTAAAAAAAAAAAAAAAGAAAAGAAAAAAAGAAAGAAAGAAAGAAAGAAAGGCCCCCAAGTCCATAAAATTCCACAAAGGTTTTTTCAAACAAAATTTTAACCAGTTCATTTTAAAGGTCTTATTTAAAGTATTGAAATCTAGAAAATCAAGGCCACCACGTTTAAGCAAATTTAAAACAACAGATTTACGAATGTAGTGCAAGAAGCTTCCATAGAAAATTAAATAAAATCTGATCAATAGATTTGATAGTTTTATTGTCTAAATGTAGGCCTATTGATGAAGCAACATATGTTACTCTAGAAATTCATTCTGCCTTTGGCTTTGACAGAAGGACTCTACCTCTAAGGGACAAGTCCCTTTCTGAACGTAGAATTTCAACTTCTGCCAAGTAACCGATTGCATCAGTGACCATACTCATCTCTGATTCGCTTATGATTTTGGCATATTTATTGTCACATAGAACTAGTCTAAAACATTTTTCCCCCAACGAAATTAGAACTGTTATTTATTTCTACGTTGAAATATATATATACATTGCACATTTTGTAAAACTATCGGCTGGCACCGAATACAGGTGTGCACATAAGTGGATGGGCTTTTTATAAAGTATAAAAATCAGCGCGGACTTTTTTTTTATGTTTGACCTATTGAGACAAAAATAGGTCGAAAACATAAAAGTAAAATAACCACATTACCCATTCTGTTGAGTATAGCATCGAATACCATCAAATGCAAAATTCACTATTTCAGTTTCGATTTCAAGGAGGGGTAACAAGGAAGACCTATAACCGTTGCAGGTATACACATTAACTGAAAATGGCTCTTCTAGACGTTTGCGGAATATCAGAATGGGTGAAAGAGGACACGTTCAGCCAAGAGAACGCTTCACTCGACAGAGTTAGCCACTTTAATTTCGCAGCACGAGAGCCAGAGTTGGCAGTTCCGATCGGAGTGGACGTGAGTTGCATCTTTCATTATCATTCTGAATCACGAGTCGCTTCTTGTAACTATTGTATCAATTACTCTTTTTTTTATATGATCGTTATGAAAAGTGATATCTCTGCAGAGCACTTGTTACAAACTTAATTTGTTAACTCTTTGTGGGTGTTGAACATATGTAGCGCTGTATGATTTCTATAGAGGCTCCATGTTCTGAATCTGATGTCTTTTTTTTTCCAGCCAGCTGAGTTTCTAAAACCTTTTACCGACTGTGAGGATGGGGTCGAGGGGGTCACCATTAAGCTGGAACATGGCACCACCACTCTAGCCTTTAAATTTCAGCATGGGGTGATGGTGGCTGTGGATTCAAGAGCTTCTGCAGGGTCGTACGTTAGTAAGTGACGAGCACTGTACAATAAAACACTTTTACAGAGACATAAACATATACGGACAGACAAAGAGAGCTTTCAGCTTACCAGTAGAGAAATGCTGTCAGAAACAATTAAAATATTTTAATTATTAAAATATGTTTGAAAATAGGTATTTAAAACACCACATGCTGACACTGATGAGTGCAAATTTAGCCAACACACACATCATGCATTCAGCCTATGGAATTTTTTGCAAATGTAAGCCTGAATTCCTGTCTGCTGTACTTTTCCAGGCACTCAGATGTTCAAGAAGGTGATTGAGATCAATCCCTACCTACTGGGAACCATGTCTGGAAGTGCAGCAGATTGTGTGTACTGGGAGAGAGTCCTGGCCAGAGAGTGCAGGTGAGAAACAATGTATAGGCCATGTCATGAGGGACTATATTTAAAATGTATGTGACTGGGCTGATGTCAAATACAGACTAAAACAAACATCCTTATGTTACATTGGACATATTTTTTCTTTGTAATGCGTTCTAGGTGCCAGATTGATTTAAAAAAAGCTATTTTTAAGGTTACTAATTTAGTTATGGAAGTCTCCTACAATAGATTTACATGCATCCAAGATCAAAAAACACAAATTTTCTCATAATATAGCCTACATTGCAGTATCACCTTAACTCGTAACTCATATGTCTGAAAGGGTTCATCAAGGATCCGGTCAAGGATCCGGTCTCTTCTCACAAGAGCTATTCTACTCTGATTGGTCAGATGGCCTATAGTCTATTATGATTGTTCTGCCACTTACGGTCACGTTTTACACAAAACACCCAGGCCATTACAGCTCCGGGGGCTCCCTTAGCACTTGTATACACAGTGAAACGAACATTAACAATGCCGTTACCGTATCAATTCGAGCTCGAGCCCTCATCCATAGTAAGTACATACAAAGTAGATTTGATTTCGCAGCACAGATAACAGCGTCTTCTCAACATGTCAACAACACGAACCACAGTCTTCCAGGCCTCGGCTACATCTATCTATAGTATTTCAGGGCTGGTCAATAGACGTTTATCACAGCCAATGAAGAAAATAGGCTAGCATTGTGCAAATATGTTACAAACCTACCTATGTTTTTGCAGGAAGTGAGACTGGAAATTAGTGACAACTTGTTTCAGGCAGTTCAGAATCAGTTCTTTCTTTTGGGACAATAACTCCATTTGTTGAGCACTTTCATCTTTGAAACTTTGCAGACCTTTTACATTCAAAAACAGCTATATAACACGTATACATGAAAGGTAATATCCGAAAAAGCATAGTAAGGGCACTTTAAAAGCATGTTGACATACTCTGTCTTGAAGTACAAGCTTTCTTTATTTCCTGCTGATGATTAACCCATTGAACAGTATAGGAATAAGTTGAAATTAAACTGTTTAACGTATTTAAACTTATTGGAAAATTTCCTTCAGGATTTACAAGCTGAGGAACAAGGAAAGGATTTCTGTATCTGCTGCCTCTAAGCTGCTGGCTAATATGGTAGCAAATTATAGGGGCATGGGTCTTTCTATGGGTACCATGATCTGTGGCTGGGACAAGAAGGCAAGTTCTTAATTCTTAACTGTGTTCAGAAATCAAAACATAAACATTACATTACATTTATGTAAATGCTCTGCCAAAACGGAAAATTTCAGGGTCCTGGGTTATACTACGTTGATGACAACGGGTTGAGGCTGAGTGGGAACATGTTCTCCACGGGGTCTGGTAACTCTTACGCCTATGGTGTGATGGACAGTGGTTATCGTTATGATCTGACGGTGCCAGAAGCCTACGATTTGGCTCAGCGAGCTATATTTCATGCCACACACAGAGATGCCTACTCTGGAGGAACAGTGAATAGTAAGTCCACAAAAATAAGTATTATGAAGAATGTTATAGTGAGACTCTTTTGACAAGGGAAATGTTTAATGAAAAACTGCAGCTTAAAATGATTCTCATTATACCTTCACAAGTCCATATAACAAAGTGTGTCTCTCGCAGTGTACCACATGCAAGAGACTGGCTGGATTAAAGTCTCTCAGGAGGATGTTGGGGACCTGTATCACCGTTTTGCTGCAGAAAAAAAATAAAAAATTTGACATTTACACACTTTTAATTGATTTACAAAGCAAAGATACAATAAACACTATGAAAAACAATCCTTGTGTGTTTTTTAACAGCTTTTTTGTCTTTTGTTATAGCTTACCTTATTAATTGCTTTTGCAGCACTTGCAGGTTTTTTATGTTATCTTTGTTCTCTTTTTCAACTCAGAAGACATTGTACATTTCCTGCTGTGTTGTTTTATCCAATAACATTAATCCCTGACATTTTACTGTACATTGTCCTAATACAAGTTCCTTAAAAAATTAAGATATTGTGATCAACTGATAGATTAATATAGAGTGTGTATTTAAGAATATTTATTGAAAAAAGTATTGTTTTTGTAAGTGCTTTTCCCAAGCTTTAAAAGCTTGTATAATTTAATTGAATTTATGAAACTGAAAATGATTTTCATACAGCCTTCCCCTTTCCCTAGAGCAATAGAGCTTAATTTCTGGCCAATTTGGGTGATAAACATAGTCTCAAAGCTCCAGCAATTGTCTTTTAAGGTGAACTGACTGGTTGGTTTGGTTCAGATGAAGTAGAGCAGGACCACTTATAAATAACAATGGGCCAATATTTACCTCACCTCACCTTTACACAGAGGTAGACAGTAACAAAGTACATTTACTTGAGCACTGTACTTAAGTACACTTTTTGAGTATCTGCACTTTACTTGAGTATTATTTTTCCTGGAAACTTTTTTATTTAACTTCACTACATTTGAAAGACAAATATAGTACTTTTTACTACATTACACTACATTTCAAGGTCTTTGAAAAAAGGTAAATTTTGTCATTGTTTTGGAGCTTATAGATAACAGTAAAGCTAACATATTCATACTAAAAGCCCAAAAAAACTTTAAATAGGGCATTATGTGAGGGATCAGCCTCAGCCGAAACCATTGTGGACGTTATTGAGTGCACTTATTCAATCTCATATTCAATCGCACTACTGGAACTATGTTCTAGAAGTACATTTGATATTAATATGAGGGTAGCAGGCAAAGATTCAGAGGCAAAAAGTACTGTGAGTATTACATACAACAATGCATTTACTTGCTACTTTTGATACTTACATACTTTTAAATACGAGTACTTCTGTACTTTTACTTAAGTAAAAATCGATCTTTACAACTTTTACTTGTAACAGAGTAATATTTGACCAGTATCTGTACTTTCACTCGAGTAAGAAAGTTTACTTTGTTTTTCCTCTGCCTTTACATTGTATGTAAACAGTCCATAAAGCATATTCACTAATGGTTTGCTATTTGCACAGCATATCAAGCTCTTATTTTTATTGGTTTACATTAATATATTTAATATTTGGTTTGCTAAAATGATGGCATAAGTCATAAGTATTAATTAATCATTATGTTGTTTTCCTTAACATTCAATGACCTTGCCATCATCTGCAAACTGGAAAATGAATATGACACTGGCAAATTAACTGTTGTTTTCAGTTGTCATTCTCATATTTAAATCATTTTATTAAAAGGCAAATCTTTTACACTGATGAGTGTCAGTGACAGTAAATTTGAGAATCAGCCCATTCTGAAGTTCACAGAACATGGTGGTGGAGAGTTTGTTGGTTGGTGAGGTCATGGATCAAAGGCCATTTGTTGATATTTTACAAAATGGTGTTGGGAGGCTGGTCTATCTGAATATGTGAATTAGACTTAGACTTCCTTTATTGTTACTCAAGGGGAAGTAAGGATTGATTTATTGAATTATTGATTTCTGCCATAATTGTATAGTATTTTCAAATACTGTTATTGACTACCAATCTATTGAATTGGTTAAAAGTTATAATTATTTGGGGTCTATATAATTGATGTTACATTTTGAAATGAAGACAGACTGTGTAAAATAAGTCAGCAAAGAATCCTTTGTCTGAGGAAACTAGCCAAATAAAGCACAAGCACTGGCTCCTTTAATGCTAAAATATTTCTTACGTTTTATTATTTCACAAGATCAGCGGGCACTGGATGAAAGGAAGTTATTATAAACGGAGATAGAGACCCTCAGTGATGATAACACAGCTAACCAAGACAAAGTATGCACTCATCCTAATATGCATACATTCCTACTAGCTATAGTAGGCAAAAAAACAGTAAACCTTTTTGAAAAGAGTACAAAGCATTTATTAAAGATCTGTGGTACTGACCTTGTGGACCTGTACATGCTGTTTAAAAACAGAGATGATCATCAGTTGACATGTTTTATCAACAAACAATTTTGATAAATGTAAAATTATAGATTTGTTCAAGGTTGTAATTAAATGTTAATGAATATCAGGTTTTTGCTAATGCGTAAAACTGTTTTTTAAGTGTTTGTTAGGGCCCGAGCACCGATGGTGAGAGGACCCTATTGTTTTTGCTCCGTTTATTATTATTAGGGCCCGAGCACCGATGGTGAGAGGACCCTATTGTTTTTGCTCCGTTTATTATTATTAGGGCCCGAGCACCGATGGTGAGAGGACCCTATTGTTTTTGCTCTGTTTATTATTCTTCTTCTTCTTCTTCTTCTTCTCTTAAAAGAATCGCTTTTTAGAGGGCCTAAACATGCTCAAAAACTCATGAAACTTTGCACACGCTTCAGAAGTGGTGAAAATTTACGTGTGATATGGTTTTCAAAATTGGGTGGGGCAAATTCGGTAAATTATTGCCCCCAGATTTTGCCCCGGCTCTACGTTTCACGTACAGGTATGAAATTTGGTACATACATGTAATGACCCAATACCTACAAAAAAGTCTCTTGGAGCATAGCCCTAAACACAACAGGAAGTGAGCTATTTTGAACTTCCTCCTAGATTTTGTGCATTTTTCGTAATTTCCTGATGTTGTACTTTAACGAACTCCTCCTAGAGATTAAATCAGATCCACATAATATTTTGTCAGTCTAATCTTAAGGCCTTTGCGACGTTAAATTGCGAAGATCTAGAGTTTTCGTCGAAGGATGTGACCTCGGCGGCCTGACAAAAATGTAGATGTGCAAATCCAATTTCAGCCTCTGGGTGAAATATGCATCATCAGATAACTTCTGTGTAAATGATGCAGTTCCGATGTTGCTAGGCAACCACAGACAGCCTGCAGTAACTCAGGCATACAATGTCCGATCTGCCCCAAACTTCACATGTGTGATAAGAGTCCTGTCCTGAACACATGACCATCCTCATATTAGATTATTGTAATAGCGCCACCTGCTGGTAGCAGGAAGTGTGATAAAAATAAATGACTTTGACATAGTCCTCCGGCTTAAACATGCTCGAAAACTAATGAAACTTTGCACACACTTCAGAAGTGGTGAAAATGTACATGTGATGTGGGTTTCAGAATTGGGTGGGGCAAATTACTTTAACATATTCCCCCTATATTTACATACTGCCCACCGTGCTCTGTCTTCCTAAAGGTGCCGGGTGGCGGTGTTTGATAAAAATCCCGCCCTGAATACATTTACATGACAATATTCAGTTATAGTAATAGCGCCACCTAGAAACGGGAAGTAGGAAGTGACGTGTTCAACACATTGATTCAATCCCAGCAACATATTAAATTAGGTCATGAAGTAGTCCAGAGGTGTCAATTCCAGGGGTCAGAAAGTAAAAGTCCTGCCATATGTTTATTCCACCCATTAACTCAGCTAGCTGATTTCACTAATTAGTTCTATCTCCTGGCTGAAAAACTGTGCTAATTAGCAAATCCAGCATCTCAAAATTTACTACAATATCTTTTATTTTTTTATTTTTTTATTGAGCTGCCCCTTTTCCACTGGCTCAGCAGTCATGCCCCATCATTGCACCATCCGTTTCCAATTCCAATTCCATCTCTCCTTCCAAGATCTCAATCGGCTTCTCTGCTCCATCCTCTGCCTCAAGTTCCAAATTATCTGTAATTTAAATACAGTTAATTTGACAAACTTATGTGCAGTGCAAAACCAAACTACATTTCAAAAACACATATTCCAACAAGGAAAGACAATAAAGTTTTATACATCATAAACAAAAAACACAAAACAGTCTTTACGTAGGCCTACCATCTTTTATGAAATCCAGTGCAGCCTTTGTTATTTCCAGCTCTCCTTCCATCTTTTCTAGCATTCCCTGTGCTTTGGCTAGTTCTTTTTTAAAATATTTCCTTTCAGCATCCATCCCAGCAAATTTTATCATCACCTTTTCCCCCAACTCTGTCAGCTCATGATACAGTTTTTGTCTGCTAATTGCCTCATCCAAAACTGAATACTGCACAAAACAACACACCAGCATTTAGCCTACTTATAAACAATTCCAAATACATACTCTTGCACCGGCATTAAAAACTAAACCGATTTGTTCAACAACATTGCATACAAAGTACTAGCCTTACTTACCGCTAGTAAGCGAAACTGGTCTCTTATTTTTGTAAACTCCTCTCCTTTCACACACGTAATTTTCGATGGACTTTTAAGTGCCATTTTTCTGCAAGAACATAAAACTACTGTTGCTTTTATCAATGTGGGGCGCTCTTTGAAATGTGATACAAACGCGTCAACTAATAGCCTAAGTATTCACGCTTATACTTAATCTATAAATGTACTAAAATAATACTTATCTTAGCGAAATTAATAACACAGCTTACCTTGATAACACAACCTCCGATCTGACAAGTGGTTTAAATTAGAAAATTATAAAACGATTTTCTGTATGTCTCAGCCAATCACACTTGAAATAACACATCTTTTAAAAGTAATTATATTTAAAAAATACAAATTACGCTATTAGGTCACACCAGAGAAATAACTGACTATTAAAAATGTGGGCATTGATTGTATGGTGCTAATAGCCTACAGTACATTATATATATATATATATATTATATTTTCTTGACCAAATTTTTTTTTTATTACAAACCATGTATTCTTACAATGCTAGTCATATAGTAATACACAAACATTGTCAATTTTAAATTATGAAATTAATAGTAACACCAGAATTGGTATTAATTCTTCAAATTAATTCTTGATATTTACCATAATACAGTACAGAAATTGTGAAAAAATGATATTGATCAAATATTTTTCA